TGCCTCCAAATATGAGTGTGAAACGTGGAGGGATATCATTATGAACGATTCTCTTTCTGTTGATGTATAGCATTAGATCAGGAGCGGAGTTATAGATATACTCCCCGAGTAAAAGTTGGTATTTTGAGGCGCAATTTTAACACGTGTATGCTAAGAATATGTGGAGAAAACGTTTTACCGGTCTTCGACTTCTCACTAACTACGAAGAGTTAGGCCCTGAAACTTGGAGGTCATATCAGGTAAAGCATAAGTACATACCTCCCTGAGCCGCAAGATGATACTCGTTGTGGTGGCTGTGCACGAGTCGAAAAACCGGTTATGCTAAGAATATGTGGAGGGGTGTATCTGATCGTGACGTTAAACCACAGTGCATACTGAAGCTTAGTGAAGTCTTGCTTTGATATGCAACTGCAATCGGTTATATATTCCTCTTTCCTCGCTATTGAGATCCGGCGAGCGCCAACCATCGATCTATTGTGTTTAAATCAAAGTTGAAACACCCAAAACGGCAATCTGTTGATGTCTATACAATTCCACGGCGTGGACCGATATGAGTACGTGAAATAATCACATATTCAACTTCCATAATACCGAAAGAAGATCGGCGAATTGGTCCAGTATCTCCGAGAATAGTATTAGAAGAGCCCCGTGTACTGCATTTGCGCAACACTCTTGCATGTGAGCCAACAAGACATTCATGATATGTCATGATTACGAAGATGGGCACCATACTGTAGTCAACTTATAATATGGATCCTGCTAGGAGTCGGAGGTCACTGAATTTCGCCGAACCAGTACACTTCCCGAGGCCCTTCGACCACTCCAACGTCGACTTGGACCCACAGAAGATACGCTCATGCCAATCCCAAGAGCCTGAGCTCATCGAGAAATAACCCGGAGCATGCCCCAACACTGCATGGTACCTTCTTGGCATCAGCCTGGGCTCGGAAGCCCTTCTTGGCCAGCTTGGCCTCGGCATCGTCACTCAACGACGAGTCACTTGACCACAATTCGCCAATCTGCATGGGGACATAACACAAACACTTTGAATGAAACCGCATTGCCTTACACCGGTAATTTCCTCGACCTCATGCTTCATCATATGTATTACTCTTTGCCCTTGTGGGCCTACTAGAGACACTATTGGCGAGGACTACCGGGTGTAGACCTACCTTCGACAGGACCATGCTTAGGTTGGAGCCGATGGTCCGAAGCCTCGTTTACGACAGAATCTGCCACAGAGATTCACCCCAATGCCCTCGCTGGATAATCTAGTTGTCCTTACCTGGACTGACTTCGGTTGGTCCTTCCTTCACGGGTACAACAAGCTCCTCTCTAGATGGTAACTAGAGACCACAGCTCAGCACCATCGGACCGGACCATGACCCACCTCCGCGGGGACCGGACCAGCGGTTTCAGAGGCCGTGGTCTCTACCGGAGTGGGCCGGGCCGGCTCATGTCCTCGACTGACCCTCCGTACTTGCGGTATTGGGGGCCTTGGGCGCACAGCAGGAACCTGAGACCAGCAGGGATCAGCAAGACCCAGCCCTCAGACACCAGAACCACCCTAGGTCCAACACTTCTCTCTGAGCCACTATGGTCAGCCGACTGGGCCTGAAGGGACAACGAATGAACCACAGAGCCCCTCGGCTGACGAACTGAGCCCACCTCAGTAGGAGGTGTCACTGGCCGGTTGCCACTTTCCCTCGGGGACTCAATGACCTGACCGGGACCGGTTGAGCCGGCACCACCCCATCCCCCTGCAACTTACTGGTGGGGGCTGAGCTTCCGGATATCTGTACACTTGAGGCCACACCAAGCCTTTACCCTGGTGGTCATTGTCAGGACCAAATACTTCCATTTTCTGGTATATGAACATATTGTGGTAATAATTCACATCGGTTGTGACCACACCACCTCCCTCAACTCTGTCATGCTCACTGTGGACCACCTGCTCAGGCTGGCCCACGGTAGCAGCAGTGTCTCGACGACCAAACATGGCCCGGCCAGGAGGCTCAAGTCCAGAATTAGCTTGGTCGGTATGAGGGGCTCGGACCCCAGCCGAAGGCCCTTTGGCTTTTTTGAACCCCATGGGACCAGCTGGTTTGGGTACGGCATGTCCCTGCGTGAGGGGCGATCCATCGCCACGTGTCTTAGTAACCGCAGATGCCCGCTTGAACGCGGCTCGACCCTTCTTCGCCGGACTGGGAGAGGTGTCATGTGCTGGACCAAGATCAGCTCCCTGATTCTGATGGGCATGGGCCACGGGTGGACCACCCACTGGTACCGTGTGATCACTTGGTTTGGACGATGGTAATGGGCCAGCATCGTGATGTTGCGGAACCGGATCTAACCTCTCTGTAGACCCGACTTGACTAAGCTCCCCCACAGGGTGGACCGGACCAGGCCCCCTCTCCACAGGGTGGACCGGACCAGGCCCCCTCTCCACAGGGTGGACCGGACCAGGCCCCCTCTCCACAGGGTGGACCGGACCAGGCCCCCTCTCCACAGGGTGGACCGGACCAGGCCCCCTCTCCACAGGGTGGACCGGACCAGGCCCCCTCTCCACAGGGTGGACCGGACTAGGCTCCCTCTCCACAGGGTGGACCGGACCAGGCCCCCTCTCCACAGGGTGGACCGGACCAGGCCCCCTCTCCACAGGGTGGACCGGACCAGGCCCCCTCTCCACAGGGTGGACCGGACCAGGCCCCCTCTCCACAGGGTGGACCGGACCAGGCCCCCTCTCCACACGGTGGACCGGACCAGGCCCCCTCTCCACAGGGTGGGCCGGACCAGGCCCCCTCTCGACAGGGTGGACCGGGCCAAGCTTCTCCATAGATTGGACCGGACCAGGACCCCTCTCCACAGGGTGGACCTGATCAGGCCCCTTCCCCACAGGATGGACCGGACCAGGCCCCCGAGCGTGCGCAAGTTGATCCAGTCTCTCAACGGGCTCGACTCGACCAAGCCGTTCAGGGTGATGGTTGAGGTTCTCGGGTGATACCAACGAAGGGTTGTCCTCTGGGCCTATCTCTATTGGGTTATCATTGAGATGGGTTACCGTACACCTACAATGGGCACACTTAGCACCGCCCCCCGAGGGCTCATTTACCCAGCTGTGGACCGGTAGTGGTATTACATTTTAAGGAGATGCCGAACTTCATGTTCTGGGTGGGCCTGACCCTGCTCCATGGCCCTAGTGAAAGCCTCCATAGCAGTCTTCTCGTCCAGATCTGGTGCCTGGACAAGGCACCTCCACAAGACGCAATAGGACCATCGATATACCCACCGAAAAATGAACATGTTGCTTGGGAGGTCCTCCACTTGGGTCTACTTCCTCTACTACTCGCACATGGACCTACCCTAACCCTACTGGATCAGGAGCTGACCCTGCTGTACCCACCTTGCGCTTCATAACTAATGCGAATCCCTTCTCCAAAGCAGTACGTATGTTGGAACCTGATCATGCTCCTCGAGGACCACCGCTGGGGTCCCACTGGGCTACTTCGAGCAGCTTCCTCGTCAATGACTTTCAATGCGGCTCGGAGAACTGGCGCCTCCGGGGTTCGAACCGGGGGTTCTTCAGGAGGTCGAGTGACCTGACCGCGGAAACTCCCCCTCGGCAGGGGGAAAGCAGATGCCCACCTCGAGACCAGCGGTTGGTCCACCCGACTTTCGACTCGCAGTCTGGTATCTGATCGTGAGGGCGTCCGAGTTAGGTCGGAAGAGGAACCCACAGAGTCTCCATGCGAGGGTCGATATCACGGCACCCTCGGAGCAGGCTGGCCACCACAGTGTTGAAGGCGACCGAATCAAAGGATGGGGTGAAGTATCTATCAGGACAGCTAGTGGTCCACGAGAGGGGTCGGCGTGGGCCCACCTGTAGGCACAAATGGCCACTATGGCTTCAGACAACTTTTTGACATCATCCTGCAACCTTGAGTTGGACAGGGTAGAGGGTCGCTCCAGTTCGCGGAGTCGGGCCTCATTGCGTTCGGCCACGGCGAAGTCTTTGGCTAGGGCCTCTTCCATGATGGCTCTGAGACATAGTAGACTGTCCCAAGGCCATCCCAAGGGATCCCTACACTTCCCGCTCCAGGGCCTGTACTTTGAGCATTTCTCTGGCGATCAACTTGGTGTACAGACCAGAATCGCGATCTCTTCGGACAGGGGAGGCTGGGGCTGGCACGTGGACACGTCCCTCCAACTGGAATCTAAGGGAGCCTCACCTCCACTCGGAACATACTTCTCCCGATGGACCATGTTTTTGCGAACCTCAGGTGTCCGGGACCGAGAACGCGATCCTCCTGAGGTGAACTGGTCGATGGCCACAATAATGAGCATGACCAGTGACGAGGTCACCTCCAGATGGTGGTACAGCGTGGCGTCTTTCTGGACATAGATGGTTCCGAATGAAGTCGCTAGGACCGAACATACGCGGTGGCGGAGGTGGGGACTTCGCCACTGCATCAGTGCGATAAAGCAGATTGAGGATAAAGATCTCACGTGGAGGATCAGGGACGATTTCACGTGCATTATGTGCCAGGGGCCTCGGCTGTGGAGACCTGGTCAATGTGGGGGGCCGCCTAGAACACCAACCCATAGGAGTTAATACATGCATACGCTGAGGGAGGCGAAATTTGATCCACCCAGCCAATGAGAAACATTCGGCAGTCAGACCCACACCCACACCCACACGGGCAGGGTTCGGGTTGGTAGGATATTGCAAATTTCGCAAAAGGAATAAGTGATTTCTGGTCCCGAAGCCCAACCAGAGAGTCATGCACCACCATCTCACCCGGTAGTCTGCACTGGTGACCGTCCAACCCTTTGAGGCGGCGACTTCGGAACCTAAATCAGCCGATCCGGAATAGATGGTCCCGTGAGCAGCAGATGATAAGCTTACAAAGTTCAGTCGATGCCAATAATGTACATCCGGCTCTCTAGGTGGGGTCCGAACCGGTGATATGTGAGTCTCTGAGGAAATGCTGAGAGTCCCTCCCGATGGACCCCATGGCGTACCTGGGTCCTGATACATCTTCGGTGGTTTCCGTATCTCCCTTTGACGTTGTGGTAAAGGCCCACTGGCTAAGGGCATGTTAATTACGATGAATAGAAGGGGGCAGAGAAACGTTTCAAGCCCTACTCACGAGGCACATTTTACTATCAGCAACTCGAGGGGCATTGCCAGCCTTGGATGAAAACGCAATAGCCACTTGCGAGATCTCAACTGATGATCCTTACTGTCTTCAAAGACGACCAACTCTGGTTCATCAACGGAGGCAACGATCACTCCAACGATGGCATATCAGTTTTCTGTACTCCACAACTTGCACATTTCCACCGGAACTATAGAGGGGGCTTTCTTGCATTTCCTGCAAACCGCCCGGGTGTAGGAATCGGCGCAGGGTCTCATCTCTGTATGAGTTCCTGCCAGAGTATAACCACGTCAAAGGCTCATATAGTATCATATCAATTCCAAATAGAGGACAGATGGGGAGGTGGTGAGTTCCCGGCATAATCTTCACAAGAGCCAGGTTCGATCCCTTCACATTGTTCCTCTTATCAAGCATCATACCAATTATCATATCTCGAATTCCTATCAGTTGGCCGTACATGCCCCGCGCCTCGCGATGGCTGGTGGCTTTAGTAGCTCGGCTACCACGCCTCTTTGAGCTAGCCGATACCAGCCTCCCCCGGAGGAAGGTAAGCAAACCGTCCCTACAGCCAATACATTAATGAAGTGTAGTGGACAAAGGCAGAAGATGATTGACATCTTATACTCTAGCTCGATGTAGTCAGACGTGATCACGTCCAAGACCGTAAGCATTCGAGCTAACGACCAGTAGTTGTGAGAAATTCATCGAAATCGCTTGACCGTTAGACGCTTCAAGTAGTCGAGCCTTTGAACTCCGGAACACAACAGGACCAATAAAACGAGACGCAGCATTATTTTTGGATAGTCCGGTGATTTAGGGATGAACAGGCGACCGGTCAGGTACGGTGAACAACACTCACCACAACAGAACGGATAGAGCAATATTGAAATGGGAATAAGGCCCGAGTGTAACACAGTAAGATTTGGGGTCGAGTATGTCGAGAATCGTACTTCACACAGCAGCGCCCGGCATCAACACGCTTGTTGATTCTCAAGAGAGAAGGCAGGTCGATAATCCTGGGAAGACGAAATGCAAAACGAACAGATGATGATCGGCCAGATCTCAGCCATGATTTTCTGCCAGAGCCGCTACTCTGGGAGCAAACTCAGTTGAACAACCTCCAGAGACATTATTTGATAAGAAACCGTCGTATGGTTTGAATAACGAGCAATCGACGAATCTCCTTTAAGAATGAAGTGAAGAAGACGTCTGTGTGAGGACGTGAGACAAGATGATATGATATGATGCTAGTAGTAGTAGTAGTAGTAGTAGTAGTAGTAGTAGTAGTAGTAGTAGTAGTAGTAGTAGTAGTAGCAGACTTGGAGACTATTCACTGTTGAATTGCCCAAGTGCAGCAGGAAGGAACTGAAACGTACGTCCCTGTCCAAGACCGGAGGCAGCAGGCCATAAGGTTGAAAAACTTCAAGTTTATGAAGCGCATCGAGGTCAGAATGATTCGTCAGTAACTCGGGTAACGGCTCTATAGGTTTCACAAAGCGAGTCCACTTCTCGTCGCTGAGGGCCAAAAATTCGAGTGACATAAAGTTGGTCCGATGGTCCTCCAAAGAAGCATTTTCTCTATTGTGAATCCACTAAAATTACTACGTGTTGGTCACCTTACGGTAGCTTCTCGGAACGCAAGGCAAGCTCGAGCGGAGGCAACGATGAGGTGAAATTTTGGTAAAGGAAGTAAACTGCCACCAAGTCTACAATCCCTGTCATTGCAGTTCCGACGTTGATTCAGAGGCATCGAATGCTCGGCAGTGACTTCTGCCCTCTACACAGTGTAGGGTACGTCCTCAACGTTACAGTCTTCTCTCAAATGCTTTCATGCCTCTACTACAAGGCACCCTCTACAACTCTTCAGTCGACTCCACGACTTTTCAGCCGTACCAATTAACCGCTGAGTGTGAATTACACCGACCTTAGCGGTATTATCGGGCCCTCATACGAACTCAGAAACACCGAAGGAGCAGAATAAAAAATCACCCTCGATCTACCCGTGTAACTCGACACTCATTGACTGGTAAAGTACAGATTATTCACTAGTCTTCTCTATGGCGAATCTGCGAGCATCAGCAGCTACAGACACTAGTGAGGTAAGGGCCACGTCCGTGCTGAAGATCCTGGGCATCGTAGTGACGCACTCGAACCCCTTTTCCCGCATCATCTCGATCTCATAGTCGAGCCAACCGCCCTCAGGGCCCAACGCCAATACCACCCGTTTCGCCGACCCGTTTCCCAAACACTTCACTACTGCTTCGTGGAGTTGACTACAACCGTCGTAGGGGTGACACACGAGTCGGCAGTATTTCTCCTCAGGGAAAGACCGCTCCAGCTCCCCATTAAGGAAGCGTTCGAAAGACTTCGGGTGCACGGAAACTTTCGTAAGCGTCGTATCAACACTGGCTTGCTCGAGGCCCTTGAGTAATAACGGCCGATAGAACTCCGGTCGAAGAACATGTGTTGCCCAAAACGCTTTTTCGACTCTCTCCGCAGTGATAATGCAGATTCGCTTTACGCCAAGTTGCGCTATAGTAGGCCACAATCGGGCCATGACCTTAGGTCGAGGAGCACAAAGGATCAGGTCCACTCCAGGGTCGGCCATGGCTCCCGCTTCCGCGCCAGCCCCTTGGATAGGCGCAGCGAAATCCACTTTAAATCTAACACCCAATTCTACACTGCTTTCCTCGACCATTACCGAACACAAGGGCCCATCGATGACTCCAGCCCTGATCCAATCGCCCGGTTCGCTCTTGAGGACCTTCTGAACGTGTTTGGCTCGTGCATCCGACGACGGCAGTCTGACGTAGGCGACAGAGTTCTTCTTCTCATCACACTCAGCATCGGTTGAGGTCGTAGAAGGGTATTCAAGCTCAGCTTCTTCGAATAATATAAGGTTCATGGGGACAGAGAAGAGAGTAACAAGAGGAACTACTATGGGGTCGAGACAATGCTCATTCTACTCTAGCAAATTTACACAACATGAATCGCTTCGCTCCGCCTCCGCGCGCGCGTCACGTTACGTGACTCACGTAGCTTTTGTATGTTTTCTGCCGGAGTCATCACCCGATACTTCACTCAGTTCTCGTACATGATTAGATAGCCTAGTAGAGATGTGTTCGGATACCAACAAGTCAGATGAGATGTAACACCAGTCTGGGGATCAGCCATGTGGGCATGCCTGTACTCTTGAACTCGTGTTAAGAAAAGACATCTTTTCCAGAGAAGTGAGCAAATTACTCAAAGCATGAGCAATGAAATCCAATAATTTTCACCCTATCGTTCAACTGCGCGACTACAACAGAGGTTAATACCTCTAGCGACCAGCGAATTATAGGGGCCACGACAGGTTCGATGTCCTCAGCGGAAGTTTGTAATACAACCACCGTGAGCATCGTCCGATTGAAAGTGCCAAAAATGAGGTAAAATCCTCGGCGTGAGCCGACTTTCTTGAGTACCTTTTCCTCAAAGGCATCAAACCATCTACATCTTGATACAAAAACTACGCTGGCGCTGTAGGCCAGACGAAACAGCTAGACCTAAGACAATGCATTCAAAAGGACAACCCATTATCAGCGACCAAGGAGAAGGTGCTCACCTCCACCAGCTCGACAAAAGCATCCAGATCATCGATCTCCTCTAGAGTAGCCGTGGACGGTATCGGGCGTACAACCACGAGGTTAGTGCCTACCATTGTAGGCATCACTTAGCATTGTGGAATAGACTTTACCCGAGGCGGCCAGACCAGTGTCCTTACAGAAATCCTTCACATTTTGAATCACTGCTTCTGCCGATTGATAACTGAATTAAAAATATCGGGATATTTGGAAAAAAAGGGATTTTTTTCTGATCAGAAAAGAATTTGATAAACCAACCCATTAAGCGATCGCGTTACCTAGATGTCTGCAGTGGCTCGACACCCCAGAGGGTTGTGAAGAAGTTCACCACTGCCTCAGAGGCCGACATGGCCAGGATCTGAACACGGCGCTGATGAGGAAACGTGTTGCATCAACACCTTGCAAGAAGGCCTCATCCTAGAAAGCATAGCCGCTGTTGTTCCATCGTCCGAGAAGGCCTGAGAAAAAACTATAGCAATAACGACAGCGTGCATGGAATCTTACCACTATGAGCTTAGCCTCATTGCCCGGGTCCCTCTGTATTGCGATGGCTCTCTCGACCACCAGTCGTACCACCGAGTCAGATTTACTCGGACTCGACGAAAATGCATCTGCCGCCGAAACCTGACACTCTACATAACTCTATAACGATGTTCGTAGATCGAGCAGCGAGCTGAGTCTCACTTGGTCCTCTAGTGTATGGATGGTAGCAGCAGCATGTGACGCTTGATCACTGGAAAGCTGAAGGGAATGACGATACCCAGAATGGTGACCAAGAGAGGCAAATTGCTTGCCAGAGCTGTATCGCTTTGAACCGATACTGCGGCCATAAGGTTGCCTACTGGTGCGGCAGAGCAGTCCGTGATCACCTATGAAGTTTTGTGGAGAGTGACGCGGTAGATTATACTAGTCACAGGTGAAAGGTTCATCAACAGCCTTAACCAGTAAAACAAATAAGCAGAACTTATGAAGTCTTATAACAGCACTACTGTGAAGAGAAGTGTATTGTAGGCTCTAACAATGCTAATTACGGTGCGCTTCAAGAGAGCACTGTTGAAAAAGATACGGAGGAGGTCTACAACGAACACCCACAAGTTGCCTACCAATTTTCCAGCCAAATTCGCACGGGCGCAGATACTCTGAAAGTTTACCGTCAACGGCGGTACAACCTGAGCTCGACCTCACCCGATTAAGTTGGTGCTTACTATTCCATCCACAGTCGGGAGGAAGTCATCAATGTTCTTAGTAGAAGTGGTGTGTATCTGGGCTAGCGAACTCCAAGCTGAGAGGGCATTCAGCGCTGAGCTTCTTACGAATATCTTAATTCTTCTCCTCTTCCTTCCCAGGGCAGAGCTCCGAGATGATGTAATTTCGGCGCCAGTGCGAACCGGTGGGATAATGACCGCGCTGATACCATGTCGTATAGGCACTTTAACAATAGACAGTTTAGCCAGTTCGTTGTTGCCCACAGACAAAGCCAACGAAAAAGGCCGACTGACCCCGCTGTTGCTCTTCCCCGCAGTTCCTGAAAAGAGTTTCCTTCCCGCGGCACGGCCCAGAGGGGACTACTGATCTTGTGGACGCATGAGTTGAGCTTGTCTACTAACGCTCGAGGATCAGCTGAGGAGGGTAAAAACTCAGCATTGACCTTTTCCCGACTTGTGTGATACCAGCCTCGCTAAAAACTCCCTTGGTGATGTCCAGTACAACAATGGAAGCGCCGCCTCCCAACAACCTTCCAAAATACCTGAGGGCAGTAGGAATGTAGATGTTTCACCAGAGTTATGGGTACTCTTCGGTGAGGTTCTCCTCCGGTATGGTCGCCAGGTTGACCGAGGCTGCGACTTTCATGTAGGGCACTGTACAGGAACAGACATCCACAATGAGAGATCATCAACTCGCTTACTGTCCTTTCCCCGGAGCCTAGGGGTAGGAGCACTGTTGAAACAGGCTTCGGCGGCGGACTGATGAAGCCATTGGGGTGATGCTAGGCAGATCCTCGTTGACTACCTCGTCCATGGCACGGACTCTCTTATCGGCGACCCCCACCATCGTCAAGATTTCCTCTTCTACCTTCGAGTCGATGGCCATCTATCTCGAGCGACTTGGGAAATTAAGGCCTGCCACGCTCGGATGAGAGGCGTCCCCGGATCTTACTTCTCCGTTCCGTGTCGTGAGTTCATGATAGTTTCGTGGCGCGCGACAAATCGTCGACACTTCCGATTCGAGAGTCCCGAAGGCTCCTCCACATCATCATACTTGACTTGCACGCGGATGTTCATCGCGGAACGCGGTGTCCATGATACGTGACCCGGTCGGGGTGTATTGGCACGCAGGACCCCTTCTGACACCCACAACCTGACCTATTCCGTATCTTCCGCGCTGTACCTCAAGATTCTCCCAGCCTAAGGGGCAGCCTTAGGGGCTGATCCAACTGATTTTAGCACAGCCAATTCTACTAAGATATTCTTTTCGCTTGACTCACATCATGCGGGCCGCATGGTATTTGAGGACTTCGACCCGCCTCTTCCACTCCGTACAATTGTGCGATAATATATCGTCTTCTCCGACGATGGTGTCTCAGATATTATTATCAAAACGTTCGCTGTGTATAGCACAACTAGATTACCTCAAAGATGCCGACTCGAGCCTCTACTGAGTGACGATGGCTGGCGACTATCGGACTGGGAACCTACTGATCGCTGGGAGTGTCTTTTGGATGCTTGCGATGCAAGAACACCATCTGAATTGTTAAAGCGCTTGTGTTTCGATTATTTGCTCGTGGTTTACTGTCATTTTTGGTATCATAGTTAGTTGGTATCATACCACCCGCAGTCACTTCCTCGCATGAGGGAACAAGTACGCAGATTGACGAGTTACTCGTCATTACAATTGATCTTATTTCGACTGTGTGTTACCACATACTGTAGTGTCTTAGTGATTGCCATGAGGGAGAAGCACCTTTCAAGTGCATAGTGTCGACAAGGGTCTTTCCGTGGTAGGAGGTGAAAATCTAAGCGAGAGGATGAAAAGTCAAAGAAGAAAAGCGCCCGCCCGAGAATAGCAAAAATCTAAGCGTGAAATGGTGAAAATCCAAGCAGGACGGTGAAAATCTAAGCGGCGGATGGCGAAAATCTAAGCGGCGGATGGCGAAAATCTAAGCGGCGGATGGCGAAAATCTAAGCGGCGGATGGCGAAAATCTAAGCGAGGTAGCGAACCTGTAGGGGGTCTCTAGGTTATACTATAACCGTTATAGTATAACCTAGAGACTAGCATCGGTATGCCGTGATACTTCCGACGGTAAAGTTCGCAGCGACTCGATGAACTCAACAACGAGTCTATCTGATAGATACTGTCGATTAGACAGTTGACATTTTGCAATTCATCACGACCTGGTTGCCTAGGCGAACACATATCGCAATAAGCAGTAAGTTTGCTCAGGCCTTCTTTCCATGTCGTAATTGGTAAATTGAGCTGATCAGCATCCAGCTTATAACTTCACGAAATCCTTGAAGCGAGCAGGCGCTCTTTTTGCACGCTTGGGTCTCTGCACGGAAGGTTCGAGTATGGTCTCGCTGGGAGAGCGTCTCGGGCCTTCCTTAGTATTAGCCTTCCTCTTGATCGGTTGTAGGGTCGTGGTAACTGCGGCCAAGCATTTTGTGTGTCCATCATGACTCAAGGTTACCCGGCTCGACAGTGGATGTATCCTGATGAGAGTATACTTCATGCGAGATGGGAGATTTCGGGCCTACGAAGGAGCTCTACCCACACCCCAGAGAAGCAATGCTAGAAGACTCACATGCATCGGATGTTTCCGTCACGGCCGGCAACGCATCCTCGATCAGCAACGGAGTCGTGTTGTCCATCTCACGCTGCGCGTCGACATCAGTAGGATGGCGCTCTAGAGTTCCCAAAGAAACACTTTTTCTGGGGCGGCCGGCTCGAGGAGCAGGTAGCAACACGGGTTGCACAAGATGACGGCGTTGCAACAAGTGTTCAACCATAAGTGAGTGATGACATCGTAAGCAAGAGGCAAATCCCCGACAAGAGCAAAGTGGCTTCGTAGCAGAGCCGACCGAAGACGAGCTGCTGGTTGAGTGCATCAAGACCACCAAGTGAATACCCAAGACGACGTCCTCGAACTCCTCAACCGACTGGAATACCTCGAGCCTCGGACAAAGGTGGAACTCCACCCTCTTCTGGACATCTTGAGGCGATAGCGGGCATGCTCGGCGAGAGGACGCAACGCAAAACAGACGATGGCCGTCTGGGGTCGGATCCATCTCACGTATCACATCGCCGATTTCGTGGCTGTGTTCTTCGACCCGAGCGGCAGCTTTCCTCTCGATCTGAACGGCGACAACATTCATCCAACCAACCGCCGTATGAGAGATGCGGCTGCCAGCAGCGCAATCCCCAACGGCTCTCAGAAAGTTTCTGAGAACGGAGATGGCTCCTTCATCACCGATGAGGCTATTGATTCTTTGTCGGTCAAGGTAGTCGACTCGGAGGGTTTTGAAGCCATTTTCACAACAGTTGTTAGTGACCGGGCAGCAACCAAGGGGGCGTTTTCCTCGCAACATGTCGCTCAAAGACATGTGGAATAATCCTCCGTACACGCCGGTGTTATCCAACCACGATGAATCATCGATGATGTCAACGTCTTCCGTGGGCCCTCTCCGAACATGGTGGCCATCTCAGACAGTAGTAGTTTAACGTAACACTCGTAGCACTCCCAGCCCGAACACTCAGGCAACCTCCAAAGTTTCTCTCGGGCATATCGAAGAAATTGCTCCTTCTCAGCAGCAGTACCAACTGAGACCTTGTTGAGATTCTCGGAAGCATGGAACTCGCAACGGACGCAAAGGAAGTCTTCCCCAAAGATTTGTTTCGCTCCTCGCACAATTCCGGGAGAGGAATCGGCTACCAAGTAGGAAGGACTATGACAGATTCCAACACCGATTCCATCCTCAGGAAAGAACAAACGTAAAATTGTGCGTAACCGGTCGAGAGCGAATGCAATACAAGATTGAGCCTCAGTAAGAGAGATTGCTACGAGAGCAGGTGCGATGGACCACCCATACCGGCCCCCTTCTTTCAACGTATAGTGAAGGATCGATATGGTTACCACCAGGCCCATCGCTCGGATTGATTTAAAATGGCCATCGATGCAGATCGCGGGCATAGTCGGAAGACCGTACTCACGTCGAGCTCCGACGAGAAAGGGAGACGACGGGTCGAAGCTATTATAAATATTTTTCAGGCCGAGGCCACTACTTAGCACCACCACTGCTTGCGGAGCTCGCTTGCCAGAGCCGTCTTGCGCTCCGCCAGGCAGTTGAATTGCACCGAAGGAATAAAGCTCGTCATTCTTAGGATTCTGACTGGTGAAGCGCGACGCTAATGGACTAGCTCGTATACCCTCGCCAATAACCCTAACCGCGTCGTCGTCCACGGAGGTGAACCCCAGCCTCTGGACTTCTAGAAGAACTTCATCGAACGAGGTGGCGACTTGGTGGTTGTTAGCAAGAAACTGTTTACGCTTGTTGCGGACGGCTTGAGCCAATCGCTGATGACCATCAAGCTTACTATCGGGTGCGGCATAAGCTGTAGAGTCAAGCGCATCTGCCAAACGTGCGATCTGAGTAGGATGAGTCGACTTCATCTGAGGCACACCACAGTTCCCTCCATCACGCCCAACTACCCGCTGACCTCTCCGTAGGCTCGTATGGGTTTCTGAACTCTCACGAGTCGCTCACACTCCCTCTCCAGGACATGAGGAAGCTTGAGGTACTTCCCAGAAGCTAGCGGTACATGTTCTGGGGAGTGCTCGGCTAGAGATAGATGCAGAGCGGCGCCAGCCCTTGCCTCGGGACCCGAGATCCGGATCGCCTTCACCTAATTCGTAGATCGCCTCAGACAGGTTTCAGCTGACTCACAAAAGCAGTGTGATTTACCTTGAATTGGCATTCGCGATGTGAAGCACATATGAAAGTACGCAAGCACGGGATCTCGTTTCGACGGTTGCTCCCGTAGCTTTTCAATTCAACATCCAAAAGGTCTTCTAGCTTGTAGTACAAGCCTTGTACTTGAGCATCTTCCCACGGGGCCACGTACCACCAGGAACGAGATCGTCATCGTCGAACCACAGAGTGCGGAAGCGCGGTCCGTATGTAGTCCTAGAAGCAGACATAGAAGCGACGGTACGAGTGACCGCAAAGAACTGAGAGTACAACCGGGCCGAGAAGAAAAAAAACAATAATTACAGGGCAACCCGAAACCCGAACTGTTATCCGAGGCTGAGCTGTTATTGACGGAAACCAAAAACCCGAACTGTTATACAAGGCTAGGCTGTTATGCAAGGCAAGGGTGACAAACGAGGCTGGGCTCCTACAACCGGGCCGAGAAGAAAAAAACAATAATTACAGGGCAACCCGAAACCCGAACTGTTATCCGAGGCTGAGCTGTTATTGACGGAAACCAAAAACCCGAACTGTTATACAAGGCTAGGCTGTTATGCAAGGCAAGGGTGACAAACGAGGCTGGGCTCCTACAACCGGGCCGAGAAGAAAAAAAACAATAATTACAGGGCAACCCGAAACCCGAACTGTTATCCGAGGCTGAGCTGTTATTGACGGAAACCAAAAACCCGAACTGTTATACAAGGCTAGGCTGTTATGCAAGGCAAGCTGTTATGCAAGGCAAGGCTGATACGCACGGCAAGCTGTAATGCAAGGCTGAGCCTTGAAGGCTCCGCGGGGCGAGCGAGAAGCTTCTTTAGAAAAGAGACACTTTCTTTGGAAATATGGATTTTACCGTCTTTCCGTGTTGATGATAGCCAAGTCAAGTCGATGCGCGGAGTTCGATCGTGTGGGCGCGCGCTTTTTACAAGCATGTCAAAACGACTAGTGCTTTTGCCATCTCTAAGTTTTTAGCCTCCAAGAATGGACTCAAACAAGGGGATGTCAACTCGACTTCTCGATCCATCAGCGGTGGACCTCTCCTCGTCCTCCAGTCTTGTGCCGTATCGCCAAGGCTTCGTACAGAGGTCCTTCGCTCCGCTCACTGCGGGAGGCATCAGGCAATCAACGTTTACACTCATCTCGACGGCTATGGGAGGTGGAGTCCTCTGCCTACCATATGTTATGAAACAGGTAAGGATAGCGACACCGCTTTAGTCGAACTGGTCAGCGTTTCCTTTTTTCAGGTTGGCATCATCAACGGAGTGCTTTTGTTGAGCATCTCGTCGCTTATCGCTTTCGTCACAATGTACATCCTCATTATGTGTACTGTTAGAGTGAACAAGCATTCGTACGGTTCTCTCCTCGGCTACTGTGCAGGCAAATGGGTTGCTCCAGTGTTGGACATCATACTCTTCTTCTACGGCATGGGTGCTGTCATCGCTTACTTCATCCTACTCGGTGACTTCTTGCCAGCCCTGTTCCAGCTGGTCGGCGTCACGGTTGCAAGTCGTACGATCTGCATGGTCGGGGCGGCAGCCTTTGCGGTACCCCTGGTGCTTCCCCGTCGTTTGTCGGCTCTACAGTACGTCTCTCCAGTGGCCACCTTCTCGCTCATTCTCACGGCAGCCATCACGATGGTCAAGGCACGCGGTCAAGCTTCATTGTTGCCCCCCGAAGCCCCGATGGATTTGCTCATTTTCGGGTGGCCTCTGCTGAAATGCTTTACCATCACACTATTTGCCTACATCTGTCACATGAATGTAGTTCCAGTCGCTGGGGAGCTTGTCGATCCTACTCCGACCAGAGTCCTCAAAGTGACCTCCAGAGTGGCGTTCGTACAACTGTCTTTCTACATCGTCATCGGTGTTGCTGGCTACATTAGTTTTTCTCATCTGACCAATCAAAATTACATCACTAATTACTCATCGGGTGACGTCCTCATCAGTTTATGTCGTCTATCGCTCTCATGCAGCCTTCTCTTCTCCCTACCGATTAACACTAATCCTACTGCCAAGGCCGCGGTGCATTTTTTCCAGTCTGTTCGAGAGCTCATGGCCGACTCCAGAGGTGACAACCTCCTTGGCAGAAGGCGTGTCCTGTCATCTGCTGATGTCGAGAATGCGAGCGAGAGAGCAACAAGAATCTTCTTCAGCTTTTTTGTTTTGGCTGTTACTCTGACTATCGCTATCTTGGTCCCCGGTGTGGCTGATGTAGTGTCTTTGCTAGGAGGCTCTCTCGGGACTATCATAATGATCATCTGCCCGGTGTACATTTTCATCACAATAATGAGGAGCGAATCGAAGACAATTTTGGGTCAAATTGTGGTATGGTCTTTGATTCTAGCAGCGCTTGTGGCGATGACAGCCGTGTGCTTGATGGTCACCAACTCAATGAAGATTACCCACGTGCCTCTAGCTGTGAACTAGAGAGCTTACTATTGCCAACACGTGGCATTCTTCCGAGGTCACCTGCATTTTTTTATTTGACTGTCTATCGTTAGTTCTCCTCGTGATTAAGTAATTCAGCTCCCGGTTTAGGTATCGGCTCCGACCTGCCCAGTGTGAGGGTCTTAAGAGTTTTCTGGCAGTATAGTCCTGCTGGGAGGACTAGAGAAAAGTGACGTACATATTTTAGAACTACTCGTCATACCATTTCGTTGGATTTGACGTGGACACTTGGCAGAAGCCTCTCAGGGTCTCCATAAAGTTCATCTCTTGTTGTGCTTTTTTGGCCATTCGTACTCTTGTGATCGTCTTTCCCCTTTGGTCTGTTTGAATGTCGTCATCAGCTCCACAGAGTAAACCAGTGTACCGACGTCTTGACTCGGATAATACTGTGACGACGAGGGCCTCGCCAGATTTGGGTCGTCCACAAGTTCCCACGAAGAAAGGGAGCTTGTTCAGACTTACTCCCGGAGGCGTTACTCAGTCGATGTTCACTTTAATATCAACATCGATGGGTGGTGGTGTTCTCTGCCTTCCTTATGTGATGAAGCAGGTAAGGCATACTTCCCATTGGTTTGTCAAGATGTGATATTCCTCGTTCAGGCTGGTATCATCAACGGACTGATCCTGTTGGTAGTCTCTGCGGCCTTGGCTATCCTTACTATGTATCTTCTGATGGAGTCAGCTCAGAGGACTGGCAGAGGCTCCTACGGCTCTCTACTAGGCAGCTGTTGTGGTCGCTGGTCAGCTGCTATAATGGATGCTATTATGTTCTTCTACGGCATGGGCACAATGACAGCATACCTCATTTTAGAAGGAGACTTTTTACCAGCTCTCTTCGCTTGGATCGGCGTCAGCGTCCCCCGTACATTCTGCATATTTCTGGTTGCCATCGTGGCCATCCCTCTCGTGCTGCCGGAGAAACTGTCCGTTCTTCGTCATGTTACCCCTATATCGACTCTGGCCCTTATCTTTACTGCTATCTGCACCCTCATTCAAGCTCCAGGGCGAGCAGAGAGTCTTCCTGAGGATCTCACGGTTAACCTGGCTGTTTTCGGATGGCCTCTTCTCAAGTGCTTGACTATTACGCTTTTCGCATATATTTGCCACACTAATGTGGTTCCCGTGGCCAACGAGCTGATCGACCCCACACCCAAGAGGTGCTTCAAAGTTAGTTTCAGAGTGGCAGTGCTGCAGCTGGGCTTCTATATTCTAATCGGTGTATCTGGTTACCTCAGTTTCTTGAGCACTACTCATCAAAATTACATCACGAACTACTCTCACGACGATGTTCTCATTAACCTCTGTCGTTTGGCCCTCGCCCTCAGTCTGATGTGCTCTATTCCGATCAACACCAATCCGACGGCGAGAGCCGCTGTGCATTTCATCTCCTCGATGAAGGAGGTATCGGCAGCACAAAATGAGCCTCTTCTTGATCAGCGCGAAAGGTTACCGTCGTCCCTCCGTTGTGAGAGTCGAAGCGAGAAGATTCTTCGTATTTCGATTTCCCTGATTCTTCTCGTGGTGACCTTGACCATTGCCATATTGGTGCCTGGCATCGCTGATGTTGTATCCCTCTTGGGCGGTTCCTTGGGAACTCTACTGCTCGTCACTTGCCCTTGCATTATCTTCGTAAAGGTGATGAAGAAGGAATCGTCACGACTTACAGGAAGGGTCATTGTTTGGACTCTTTCCATTTTCACTGTTATTGCGATGTTTGCTGTATGTTTAATGATTACCAACGCCGTAGGTTTGACACATATTCCTCTCGCGGCACAATAAATATGTCTTCTATAAATGTTGTTTTCTGTTTTCTTGGTAATGTCCTCACCCATCGCATTCGTTCTTATTCAGTCTCTCTACTACTGAAACGTCTCTGTGGGCTCGTGCCTATGCCTTCCTGTATATATAGTTGTTGTTCATCGCTCCACTTCGTTGAATCTTTTCCAGTCGGTCGAGTTGTACTGATTGTTCTTGAATTCTTGAATGTCAAAAAGGGTTTGCGTGCAAGTTCTTCGAGCCAAAGAAACCAATACTATCCGTGTTAAGACATGTGATGGTTGGGGAGTAGCCGATTAGCCGACCCGAGTCACCCGTGCGGATTCAACCAGGCAATCGAATCTGGGAGCAATACACATATGATTTCGGCAAGCCAAGTAGCACCGTCACATTAGTGCAAAATGTATGAGGAGGCATCTGGTATCATATAAAGAGTCTTTCGTAACGTGTATGTATTTCCCGCGTCGTACTTGCGTCGCAGGTTTTATTTTCTCCTTAGCCCCCTCTTTCGAGATGAATCACTCGCCTGAGACAGCTCGTGGGCAAACCTGTGGAGGTCGGCCTCGACTCGGTCGGCCCGAAGTGGGAGTTCAAATTTATTTTTTCCACCGGAACCTGTATTCAGGGTCTGCTCTCCTGTTTACCATATCACCCGGAGTAAATAGGATGCGTTCCGTTGACATCATTGCGATGAGCTTTTGAGACACCGAAACAAACATTGCTGGTAGCCACAAGCGTCAACGGACGTCGTGAGCACGAGACGAGTCCGACCGATTAACCTACACTCACATTGTTGGATATTCTTGTCCATACACGAGTGCGTTGAAGCAGTGCTCACTATAGAACTCAAATAGTAGATTAGTGGCAAATGTTGAACAACTTGAGATGCAGCAATCAACGTGGTTCATGAAATGGTATCATCATACTGGGAGTCAGCCAAACTAACATGAGTAGCTTCGGTTGGAGTGATCTCGCTCATGGGAAAGACGTCGGGTGAAGAACCATCGTCATCATCTGAAAGCTGCAATCACCACCGAATCCGCAGATGTAATGCCCACGTTGGCGAGCGCGCTCAAGCAGCCTCTGCAGAATCAATTTGGGGTTCTGTTCTTTGGTCGATCCCTGAATGCACTGAGACATTATGGCTTGGAACACTTCTTCTTGTCAGCTCACATCGTCCTTAAGCCGCGTAGCAGCTGCCTCTCGTATTGCCTCGGCGAGAGTAGCTTTGCATGGGCCCTCGAAAGCCTTCAACGCAGGATCCCCACTCAGTGTCACTTTACTCTGACATAGTTTTATGCGGTCCATAAGAGGCCTCGCTGTTTTGGGACGCCACATTCGAGTGTTCTCGACAAGAGGAGGGAATTCTCGTTTGTGCCTAAAACAGTCATCTGAATGGCTGCTGGCCGTATCGTCTCAGCTGACGAGTTTCATAATTCTGCATCATGAACATACACACGTTTGGGTTGGCCCACCGAAGCCTTACATGGTGACATATTGGGATTCCTTGCGTAGTGTATGCAAGCTCCGCAAGCACGACATGAAGCATTCTCTATCAGCATGAGCTGAGAGGAACCACTGGCCAAGGAAAAGGCAAATGATAAAGTACTTAGTCGTTGAACATGATTCTGGATGAAGCCATGTAGATGAGGTTTGAAAACACCATGGAGAAGACCGCGATCAACGCTTGTATTGGATAGAGTACTGACCGTTCCCCACAAAGAAGATTCACCTGTCGAGATGCAGTAAACAGGGCGAGCAGCCGCACGTGTAGTCCTACTGGATGCTTCCTTTCTACTTCCATCAGGTGATACTCCATTGAAATCTCGGTCATATCCAGTGATCAACCGTCTCACGCTAGGATAACTGAAAATAGTCTCACCCGTTTTACGTAAAGTGGCGTAATACTCTGTGAAAAACGCGATATTCGCGCTACGCAGGAGTCGCGAAATATATCTTTCACTAGTGTTTCTCATATCACGGGCGAAACTCCGATGTTTTAGTCCAGGAAACTCAACGAGACATACCTCTGAGTCGGCAATGGTCCGGTAGCTTCATGAGCCTTGGTGGACTTCCAATGGCGATAGTTCACTCGCATGGCTCGTCGATGGAAGCGATAGTCGTCATGATACTTTGTCGTCATCAACACGCTGTTGTCGGAGCCACTCTGATGACACGATTCACTCCAGCCAGTAGCCCTCCATTGCACATCGTACTCGAGAGGTCCTCGTCATACAGCTCACGCTGGTTAATGCACTTCCACTCGACCCTGCCCTTGTGGAGTTGCTGCCCACTGAAGCATATCAAACGATACCCAGCGGACAGGGAAGGTCGTTAGTAGTTGTGGTAAGGAGGACATACCACACCTTACCCGATTCTTGTGCAGCCGTTGAGCCCAAGAGGAACTCGGACAGGGTCTCGGACTGGCCACCATCAGTTAACGACGATCCACCTAATAATCAGCTACCCCAAACATGAATCGCATTGATTCCTACGTTTACTCCGCTTGCGCCGTAGAGCTGTCCCTCGTCGATTGAGGTACACGTCTATGGGCTGCGCTACAGTGGAGAGGAAAGAGTCCGATACTCGTAGAAGGGGGGGCCTGCAGGGCTCCAACCGTCGATCATCACTACACGATATTCAAAACCCACCGTGACGGGTGGCGGTATGAGAGGGACACTCTTAGAGAGGCCCAAGAATATACGACGTTCCTGATGTTCCTTCGGCAAGGCAGGGCGTGAGCCAACGACTTCATCCTAGAATATAAACAGCGATGCCCCACCAACAACAAGGCTGCAAAAGGCAGAATATCATGTGCAACGACACCTGTGGGATTCGAACCGTCGCGAGCGAAACCCAACAGCGTAACAAACGACCGGCTTAACCACTCAGACAAAGTGTCTTACATAATCCACCCCGAGCAGAGAGAAAGCAGGTTGATATCACTTTTATAGCAACACAAACATCAGTGATATCCCGACGATTAAACCCACCTTGTAGCTCTGATAGAGGTCCTTCACTACGTGGACGAATCGTCTTTGCTCGTTCGGACTCCTATAGATGTGCCACGAGAGCAGCGACTCGACGTTCTGAACAGACGGAGATTGATTCACCCTTCGCTGGACGCCTACCTCTTCGAAAAGGTCATGCAGAAATGACCCTCTGTCACGACTGCCACGTAACTCCCCTCCTTGTGATGACATGCCCAGTGGATACAAACTGATTCCATCGCGCATTCACATGTGTGGGAGTCCCCCCCTCCTAGATGAACTCAACACTCCATATGAGACCGAATCGCAGACATCAGTCGGCACCATGATCCAATTGAAGGCATGTAACGTAGTAAGTTTACATACTACTCACCGACGACGACGACCACCACCGCCAGCTTCTGCTGCTGCTGCTGAGCCTTTCGCCATCATACGCTCAGGCCGCCCTCCGATCATGAAAGCACTCAAGTCGTGAACCCCCGCCGAGCCCCCACTGTGGAAGGCGTTACTAGTGCGGTGCTCGAGCCGGTCATCCCCGAGATGATGAGGGCCGCCCTCAAGCCGACCGTCGTCACCCCATCGCGCTAAGCGGCCAGATGCAGCGTATCTGGTCTCCGGTATTATCGGGCGATGACCCAAAGGCTGTAGACCGAAGGGGTCCTCCTGTCCCGAGAACCTGCTACTACCCCCTGCATGGTCCTCCAATAACTAAGGACAACGAATGAACTCAAGCGGTGACATCAAAACGAACCTCAAATGGATCCACTGTGTTCAGATGCTGCAAACCTCCAACGTTATCGCCTCTGGACGCGATGAAATCGGCCTCGGGTGTCTGTCCTACAGGGCTCCTGTTATACTGCGTCAACGTAGTGAACTCCCCGCGACTCTGCAAGCGGTTGCCATCACGACTACCAATGCTTGGTAGATGGTCAGGAGGGGCGTGATCCCTATAATTTGGTCCTTTCGGTGGACCCCCTCGAGATCCAGTTGACTTCCTATGCCGATACGCTGCTTCCTCATCGGGCTGATGGTTTTGGTTGTGACCATGTTGCCGGCCTCGTGAGCCACGACTCTTGCTCTGATTGGTCCCGGCCCCCCCGACTGCCCCCAAGGGCTTACTACTCCTATTCTGATAGGACTGCACCTGTTGAGACTGCTTGGTATTGTATCTCTGCTGGTAGGGGCTGTGGTCATCAACACGAGAAGCATGTGCTCCTAAACCCCCGTCCCCTCCCCCGCTGCCACCCATCGTAATACCGCTGCCCGCTGCATTAGACCTCCGTTTTGGGCCAGCCTTTGGCACTATTCGTGGACCACGTCGGCCCTCACTTTGCTGGGGACCATTATCGGCGTATTTCCCTCGACTAGGCGTCGGTTGCTGATACTGAGGGGCCACCTGCGGCCCACTGGATCCACTTGGCTGGCGGCCAGTATGCGCTGCTTGTCGAGGGCTCGCGTGGAGAGGACGGTTTCGGGTAGCTTGCGCCGCCACCTCTTCTGCTGTTACACCAGATGGTGACACCAGACCCTCGAAATAGTTGTGTGTCACACAGCCCTCCGCCGTCAGCCGTTGCGACTCGTCCAGGACCAACACTGCTTTCATGAAGTTCATCGCACGCTTCGACAACTTGCCGAGATACCGCTTCTCGATCGACTCCGGTCTGGACATGTCAGGAAACTTCAGCCCCACATACCTCGGGTTCCGCAGAAATATCTCCATCTGTTTCGGGGTCAGCGGGCCCAGTACCTAGACAACAAATCCCCTATAGTCGTATACGCCGCACACCCCTTCACCAGCTGGATGACGAAGAGTTGATCGATCTCGCTCTCCCCTGGGAACAGCGGTTGACCATCAACAATCTCTCCCATGATACATCCGATAGACCAAATGTCCACTTCCTTACCGTATCTGCAACTTCACTACTCCAGAGCGACCCTGATAGCATCGCGACTCACGTAGTGCTGCCCAGGAGAAGTTCTGGAGCCCTGTACCAGCGCGTCGCTACGTAGTCCGTGAGGGCCCCGTTGGCCCCACTCCCGTTACATATTGCATCAGCAGCATTGCTGGTGGCATTCGGGAGGGTACCTGAGGGGGGCCAACTCGGAAGGGTGTAGAGTGAGCGAGGGCAGCCTACGGGCAAAACCAAAGTCGCATAGTTTCAGTGATTTGTCGTGCATGTTTATGAGTAAATTCTCTGGTTTTATATCCCGATGAATGACATCATGACGATGACAGAATTGCATGGCGCGCGATAGTTGCCACACACAGTAGCGGACCTAAAGAGCGGCAGCATACTTCTGTAAGAGTGATGGCAGTAGTAACTCACTGTCTCAGCTTCCAGGCCTTGAGGATAGATGTCTAAGAGTTCCAGTAAGTTCTTGTCGACGAACTCAAAAACAAGATACAACTTACTTTTCCTAAAGAACTAAAGACGTGTGTTACGGGTGGACCAGGGGTGGTCACTGATAGTGTTACGCCAATGCCTAGTCATGATTATATATGCGAGACATGAAAGGGCATAAGATGTGAAGAGATCAGGATTCACACTGCGGCGGCATACGTTTGAATGAATAAAGGTTCTACCGGGATTTGAACCCAGATCGCCAGATTCAGAGTCTGGAGTGCTAACCGTTACACCATAGAACCGAATGAACATTTCGATTCTCCACCCAACCGACAAAGTGCTTACCGTCTAAAGGCTTCTCTAAGCTGGACGATATTCTCGTGGCGCAACATGCGTAGTATCCTCACTTCACGCAGCGTCGTCTTCTTCACTACATCATCATCTTCAGACTCCTTGAACTTTTTTATGGCCACAATGTCCCCTACAAATCCAACATAAGAGTCTTCACTACCATAATTTCTCAGCTTACCCGTATCCTTATTTCTGCATTTCAGAACGACCCCATAGGCCCCCTCACCAACCGCCGTCACAACTTCATATTTATTCATATTTTTCGCTGCTCACAGTCGCGACCACCGAGATTGATTACCAACAACACAGCTACTGACTCACCGAAAAAAACTCCCGCCCTTCCGCCCTTCACCATTCACAACACAACATCATGTGGTTTCCATGCAACCGGGAAATGCCCATAGTTCATCACGAAGCAGCTCATCCAAGTTTCCACCAGAGCACCGGTAGCAAGCCTCAGGTCATGCAAAGCGGTACTAGTAATAATTATTCATACTCGCATCGTGACGTAGATACTCGCAATAGCAATCATCTCTGTACTGCGTCGGTTTCCACCAAAATGAGATATAATAGCAATAATCGACCTCGATAAGTATCATATTTTAGATGCCAATCGAATGCCAATAGCAGGATCTAGAGAATCTACTACAAGTGAGCCTGGTGCTTGTGATACATCGATGATAATAATAATAGTGATAGTAGAATATAGGGGAAAAAGTATGTGTGTTGCCCGTCCTCAACAACACTCTGCTTCCGCACAAGGAGGACAGTTGGCTAGACATAGGGTAATACTGATAGTAACAGTGTTGTCCAATACTAGTGCCGTGAAAGCAGATTCGACTGTGGAATGGTACACCAGCTCAGGAGGAGGGAATATAACTAGGTCGAATAATTAGACACCATCTCCTCTCGAAATACGTATCAGATTCGTCATATTCTACATAGTAGATCTTCTATCTAAAAGAGCTCTCCTTCAATTTTACATTGCAAATGCACTCACACGGAATAATAATATCCACAATCGCTTCTCCCACACTCCCTTCCTTTTCATGCAATACAGATGACTTCCCATCATCACTTTAAGCGAAGTATCAAGTGCACCTCACCAGCTCACAATACCAATGCCAAGCCCCGCCGAGCCTTACCCCAGATTCCGTGTGTATAATCGGACTCAATGTCCCTGGGGGCAACGCAAACGCCACTTTTTCAAAAGATGGCTGCATTCTTCCACGAGCGATCTCGCCAAGGTCGCCTCCTACCAAAAATCAACTTATCCTTCACATCGACTTCGAATACTTCAGTCCACCTCGCTTAGCTGTGCCGCAATCACTTTCAATTCTAGCGTTGTCCTTGAAGCACTTAGTCATAGCCGCCAGCCCGTTCGGTTCTTGCCTTACCACTTCTTCCCTTATCAATGCTAATTCCTAAGCGGACAGTAGTCCCAAAACGTTCACACCAACACTACCTTTATAGCTTCCTCAACTGGTAGTGTTATTTCCCCATCGATTCTCCACGACCGAGGTTTCCGAGACTAAAATATATTCGTAAAAATTCTACACCCAAAAATAAGTTGACTCCTGTGAAAATTGAATTATGTGTAGGGAGAATATGCACATATGTTGGTGACAATATGGAAATTATGAGGAAAATTTTGGGGAAATTCTTAACGGCTTCTGCAAATCTCTATGAAAAAAGCGAACATATACCGCCAACGCGATTATATAACGACCGATGAGTAAAACGATTCTCTCCAAAGTCTTGCTGGATGACCCCAACCAAGCCCCCCCCCCCCCACTACTACCCCCCTATGCTTCTTAAGAATATGCAGTACATGCGCTGTCTCCAGTTCCGGCATGCGGTAGACATATGAGCTCTTTCTTCTCGCTGAACGGGACCATAACAGCCTTTGAAACAACAGTCTGGGAGTCTTACTCGGTGGCATCACTTCAGTCGAGGGGAACTCCCACTGCCCTTGCTGCGTGTGTACGTTGAAGTAATAGAACTTGCCCGGTCTCGATGTTGATTCCTGATTTCCAATAACTTCGCTCCGCTAATCTTCCTCTTCCCCACCCTAATGTCCCAACCAGGCGGTAGCCTATTCCTCATCATGTGAACCGGTATTGTCCCCAGTCCTTGCTGATACACTCCCCGCTTCTGCTCGCCCTCGCCTTGGGACCCTTCCGAGGATCCAACACGGCACGCCGTAGTAGTAGTAGTAGAGAAAGTCGTCATAGTCACAAACTCAGTCAACAAACTCCTATCAAGTCGACCACACACGAGGCGGACCATACGCGCCCTCAGTGATAAATTCGCAGCGAAAAATATGTCATTTTTTCCAGAAAACTCGAGAAAATTTCCGTTCTTGCCAACTGCATAGAGAGCCACTGTGAGAGGAGACTAATAGGGGCTAGCCCCCTCCTCCTGGGCCCACCCCTGGGGATCCCTTTAGCCGGTCGGGCTATGCGAGGTCCACAGTACCCTTCTGAGGATCACACCTCCCTACTAAATTACCCCACCCCACAGGGCGGCAAATGCGTCAAAAAAACTAACAAATTCGTGACCCTTTAAAAATATACAGTCGGAGGTAATTCAAAGTACCCATGAAATTCCGACATACATTTCTGCCCGAAATGCGCTTTCAAAAAACGTATTTGAAATCTCGCTCGCCCAAAAATTGATTCACAACCAACATTAACCACCCACTTGAAAACAGTAGATGGACAAACGAATGTTTCAATCAGTCTTAGCATCATGTTGGCGTTGCCAGCGGTCGAGGAACTCCTTCCGGGCATCTCTAGTGTTATCTCGTCGCCCATCACCTCGTCGTATCGACGACAGCCCCCTTGCGTACATCTTCGCAACGACCAAGAACAGCCCCAATGCTGCTAACACGATGACTTTCAAGTATTTATAAACCCACTCGTAGATAGCCTCTTCATATCGATTCTCAGACTTCCATACGACCTCACTGGTCCGATGGTTCGGATTGGGCACACCATCAAAACATTCGCTTTCCTCCTCCTCCTCCGTTATTTGCCCAAGGCCAGACCGTTCGCACAGTTCGGCAGAGTCAGCTACTATCTCGTCCAGACGGGCACATATCAAGGTTGATTTCGGGTCGCATAGGTCCAGTTGGTTGCCACTGCCAACAACTGCGAAAAAATCCCCTCGGCAGGAATCGAACCAGGAGTCGCAGAAAGACCCGCAAATCGACGGCAGTTTAGACTGACTAGCCAGGTAACCGTCACAGGGCAGGCAAGCGACCTAAGCATGGTAATTTCGTGCCGCGCGCGGTCAGAGAATACAGACCTACCTTACGCAGCATATCAGCACACTCCTGGCTCACTCCGTCCTCCTTACCCATACCTCGACCGACGAGATTGACGTAACGCGATCGTATTCGGAGGTCATCTCGTAGACCACAACACGTATTGCCTGAGAGGAACCAAGCCACGATGAGAAAAAGGAGTGGTATGGACCATTAGGCTGTATTTCTACACAGTGTATAGACGATAATTTACATCCACAGGCTGAATGATATCGGCCGCGTAGGAGGATCAAACCACGATGAGAAAAAGGAGTGGTATAGACCACTAATTCCTATACAGTGTGTAGACGAATCGTCCACGAGTTAAATGATAGGAGCCTCGTGAGAGGGTCAAGCCACGATTAGTCCAAGATGTGGTATTATCCACCGCTACCCTCACAGCATGATAGTCCACCCGTGGCCATCCAGACCGTCACTAACTTCTTACCACTATATTCCGCACAGAAGCTGAGGGGCTCCGATGACTTCGATCGGTCCACAGATATTGCAGGAAAATCCATCAAGCCGTACCTCGCCGCTGCGATCGAGCAGTTGCCCGCCTCTACTACTACTGAGGTGACAACCGACGCCACCACCACCAGAGAACTTCTCAAGGGCCTCATGGAAAAAGACTACTACTGTGTCGGACGACAGTACTGGTTCGGTCCGCTGACATTTTTGCGGAAATTTACAGAAAATTCATAGCAGGAAAATAACAAGCGACAACTCCTCGGTCGTATTGGCATATATTCTCACTCAAGATGAGTGTCGAATGAACGAAGAGTCTGGTAGAGTCAATGGTGAGTGCCATGCGATATACGGCAATGATGTAGCGGAAGTGTGGTATGACATAACCCTCCGTATTTGATTCATTCAAACCTCAGCGGAGATCTAGACAGCGGAGCGAAGCAGAAAAATACTTCCACATCGGAATCGTGCAGGCTGGTCACCAGAATGGACCCTGCTGAACCCGCTTAGTCCTAACATATCAAATATCTCTCATTTTTTTCAAAGTCAGAATCCGCACTCGCTAAATGCAGTAAAATGGAGTTGACAACCCTGTAATCAACCAAACCAGAAATAGCCTCCTTCACGAGGATTCAAGATTCTTGCCGACAACGCGTGTGAATTTTCCATGAAAGCTAGCTTAATGCAACTGGAGGGAACACATAGCGAGGAACATGGACAAGAGTATAACTAAGCAGAGAAAAAAACATTTTCGAAATTCCAGGAATATCAAACAGTGTGGTAGAATATGCACATAGTCAACCACATGTGTTTGTGATGACAATATCAAAACTCTGGGAGGAAATTTTGTTACTTATCAACTTCTGGCGTTTCGTATATAAACTCCGACGACTAGTGAGGTAACTTTTGAGCTCAGCTGAGGGAAGCGAACATATTTTGCAGCACTGCGTTCGAAAGTCGTGGACCTAGGGTCTCTATTATCAATCTCAACATTAAGCCTTGAAAATAGAGACAACACGAGTAGGAGTAGATAGGCTGAAAAGAATATCATCACATATACTATATTGAAAACCATAATCAGACTAAAGCACAGCTCGTAGGATACTGTACAATAGGGAAGATTGTGGAAGATGATGAGTAGAGGAGTGAAGGTCCATTTAGGAACGCACTCGACACACTTTCAAAAGTCCTCCTACGTTAGTACCATAATACTCTAGACATTAAGCTCCTCCAAAATAGATATACACCAACAACATATTCGAAAGGTCAGAGCTGTGTCCTGGATTTGGCATGATGATAAGCTGAACGGGCAGCGTGCAACAATCAGACATCGGATCCGTTACTTCTGCGAAGTTGAATATACTATCAGCGAAATCGATTTCCGCCATTCGCCGAAATTGAACTTACTTCAGACATGCCGGGGAAATTGAATGTACTAATGACGAGTGTCGTCGAAACTGATTTTTCTATCGAGCGCGCTGGCGAAATTGATCTTACTAAACGCGAAATAGGCCTCTAAAAGCTGTAACGCTATTTTTCCGATTGGACATTTCCATATTCTTCCTAGTGGTGATCATACCTGTTATAAAACATAATGAAATGATTGCATCGACAAGTGCATCCGACCAGAAAAAAAACCACCCACACAGAGTGCAGGGTTGTGTAGTTCAAAAATGATCACATACGAGAGGATGACCCATGTGCTTTGAGTTATAATACTAAGTGATTTCACCGACGATTATGTATGCGTAATTTATTCCGAAAAGGCGCGTTTTAACACGCGTAAAATCGACAACTCGCATTAGCGGGAAGTCTCTTCGAGTTCTTCCAGTCTGCATATGGACCCATACCCGTGGTCGTATTGCATTGCACACTACAGCGACCGTCTCCTAGTATCTGTTGTTCCATAGTATCGTTATGTCCGACGAGGAGAAGGTATCAAACCTGGAGGAGAGCAATGTGGACGCCAAGACTCTTGCTAATAGGAAAAAGAGGGAGAAAAAGAAGGCTAAAGCCGCCGCTCAGAAGAGTGATAAAGTAGTAATTCCTATGCGGTACTGGTTGGGTTCATCGTACTATAGGAGGGTGGTAAGAAGATGAGCGCTGCGGCTAAGTTGGCAGCAGCTCGGCTCGAAGCCGCCCGAGAGGCCGAGGAGGAACGGAAACGTCTTGAGGAGGAGGCCCAGAGGAAGGTCGAGGAAGAGGGTAATGTTCTAGGGGGATGTGATGTGGCGGTGGAGTGGTATGGCGTGCAGAACGACTCGCGGCTGAGAAGGCCCGAAAGGCACAGGAGGAGAAAGAGCGAAAAGCTGCTGAGAAGAAGGCGCGACGAGAGAGGCTCAGAGCTGAGGGAAAGCTGCTATCGAAGAGGGAGAAGGAACAGAAGGCCAAGGCTGATGCGTAGTGGCTATGGTAACTCAGCGGAAGGTATTGTTAGTGCAGGTACCGGCAAATGCTCATTGAGAGCGGCGCTGTTGCGGCGGTGGCTTCTGATGAGGGCAGTGGTGACAAGCCGAAGAAACAGAGCGATTTGTATGGGAAGAAGAAAAGTCATAAGCACAAGAAACAACCGAGTCGAGGGGAGGAGAGCGTTGCCTCTTCTACTCCTGATGACGAGGATGTGGACGCTTGGGAAAAGAAGGCTGAGGACGTCACTGATGCTGACAAGAAGAGCGAATCGGCTGAGGTGGGCTTGGGGGGAAAAGTGGTCCTGGTGTCTGTGAGGGTTTTGGGGGTAGTCGGTGGACGATTGGGAGCTTCTGGATGAGGACTCTGATGATGAGAAGGTCGAAGCTTATCCAGCTCATATTAAGAACAAGCCTCAGAAGAAGCAGGAGGAGGAGGTGGATGTTAAAGGTAGAGAGGGGTGGTTATATGGTGTAGTGGATAAGGTGCTTGTTTGATAAGCCTATCGTCTTAATATCGCCGAGGTTCGATTCCCGGTAGTTGATGATTGCAGGCAAATTCGCAGCAGCTGATCCTCTCGCCGTCTTTGACTCCTCCGCCTCGGAGTTCCGTTCTCCCATCTGTTGCATCATGGGACATGTTGATACTGGTAAAACCAAACTTCTGGATAAAATACGTCGGACCACCGTCCAAGAGGGTGAGTACTCCTCTACTACTGCTCGAGTGATGCTGCTCGCCTTTACCATTAGGTGAAGCTGGTGGCATTACTCAGCAGATAGGCGCGACCTTTTTCCCCGAGGCCAGTTTGCAGGATGCTGTCCATAAGGTCAATTTGACCAGTCGTGGCGCTAATGTTGATCTCAAAGTAGTGAGGACTTCCTCTTGGAACTGTTCTAATCCTACTCTGTCCTTAGCTTCCCGGTCTGCTGATCATCGATACACCTGGGCATGAGTCTTTCAACAACCTTCGTGTTCGCGGCAGCTCCTTATGCGATATCGCTATCTTGGTCATCGATATCATGCACGGTCTGGAGCCTCAGACTATAGAGAGTCTGGAGCTGTTGCGGAATAGGAAGTGTCCTTTCATAATCGCTCTTAACAAGATCGATAGGTAGATAACACTTTTCATAGGGGCAAATTAGACTATATGGAACTTGTTTCCGTGAAATCATTCATAATAGTAATAGTAGATTTCATATATGAATATGTTTATATCGTTTGAGCCTGATTTTCGGCAGCTATGGCCTAACGGTGAACCCTTTTTTGATGGTGTTTGCGAAAAAGAAGGCAACAAGAAGCGTTGTACAGTAATAGCAATGGTATCAGGTTATACCAGTGGAGATCGTCGGCGAATCGGCCCTCTCGAGACAGTCTGAAGGCTCAGAAGGACTATGTCAAACATGAGTTCGATGATCGTCTTAAACGTATACAACTGCAGCTATCCGAGCGAGGCCTCAACACAGCGGTGTATTGGGAGAACCACGATATCCGTCGAGACGTTAGTATTGTCCCGACCTCGGCAGTCACTGGTGAAGGTGTTCCGGATCTCCTCTACCTTATTGTTAAACTTACGCAAACTTTGATGGCCAAGAAAATTACTAAGCAACCGAGCTATTCCAGTGTACTGTGCTGGAGGTGAAGAACATCGAGGGTTTGGGTACTACTATTGACGTCATTCTGGTCAATGGACAGATTAAGGATACGGATCAGATCTGTGTGTGCACTCTTGCTGGGCCTGTCATTACTACGATAAGGGCTCTACTCACGCCTCCACCAGCTAAGGAGATTCGAGTGAAATCCGAATATGTTCATCATAAAGTCATCAATGGTAAGCTGTGTTGAGACGACTGCACCTTAGCGAGTTATTCTCAGGTTCGATGGGTGTAAAGATATGCGCTCCTGGTCTCGAGGAGGCTGTTGCTGGCACACAGCTGATTGTGATGCGGCCTGGTGATGATGCTGAGGAGGTTAAGAGGAGGGCTATGGCGGACTACAAGGCTGTAGTGAATGAGTTCAAGAAGGCTCCTGAGGGCGTGTATGTGAAGGCCTCTACTTTGGGTTCTCTTGAGGCTCTTTTGGATTTCCTCAAGACTAGTTCTATTCCTGTGAATCAAGTAGGCATCGGTGAGGTCCACCTTATGGACGTCCGAAAGGCGTCAATCATGCTTGAGAAGAAGAAGGAGTATGCGGTGATACTAGCCTTCGATGTGAAGGTGTCACCAGAGGCCAGGGATGAGGCGGAGAAGCTGGGTGTTAAGATAATGACTGCTGAGATCATTTACCATCTTTTCGACCAATTCACTGCCTATATGAACCAAATAAAGGAGGAGAAACGTCAGCAAGTTCAGGAAGATGCGGTTTTCCCAGTGGTAGGATCCATACCATCTTTCCGTCACATCGTATTCATTTCTCAGGTCCTCAATATCATACCACAGTATGTCTTCAACAAGAAGGACCCCATCGTGGTTGGTGTGGACATCTCTGAGGGCACTCTACGGCTGAACACACCTCTGTGCGTGCCCGATAAGGAGTTCTTGGAGATTGGTCGAGTCGCTAGCATTGAAAAGGACCATCGACCCGTTGAAAAGGCCATCAAGGGCGACAGTGTGGCCATAAAGATTCAACCGACGTCGGCCCAGGCCCATGTCACTTATGGTCGCCACTTCGACTCTACCAATGCCCTCATGTCTCGCATCAATCGCAGGACCATCGACTGCTTGAAGGAGAACTTTAGGGAGGATATGCGGAAAGAAGATTGGCAGCTAATAATGAGGATGAAGCCGATTTTTGGTATCCAATAGAAAAATCTGGCATCCTGTAAAACGTCATTGATGCTTCTCCTGGCCGTTTCGAAGGTCTAAGCCGTGTTTGTTTTCGTTGGAAGAAGGTGATTATTCGTAGTTGCTGAGGAGAAATGGGCATCCAAAAACGTCGTAAGAAGAACGCGAATAACACAAGGGGAGGTATAGTAAAGGCTAAGAGGCATACCAGGGACATTGATCAGGTTGGGGTATGTTCGAGTTCGGCCAATTTTACGCTTTTTCTATCAGATTCACGATGACTTGAAGGCCCCGGAGAAGTTCACCAGCATGCCAGTCGATGAGGACCTGCCAGGCCGAGGACAGCATTACTGCGTCTCGTGTGCCAAGTGACGATCCTCATGGAGTGCCAAGGCCTGAGCCCACTTGCCTTAGGTACTTCATCAATGATATTGCACTCGTGGCCCACTTCAAGACGGTCAAGCACCGCCGGAGGCTCAAACAGGCCCTTGATGGTAATGTCGGGGACGGAATTCGGCTTACTCCTATTACTACTACTACTAATACTACTACCACCACCACTACTAGGCTACTTAGAATTACTACTACTGTTTTTTAGAGCCGCATACTCAGGAAGCTGCTGAAGCTGCAGTGGGCTATGGCCGTGTCTGATTTGTATAATATCTCAACGTTTCTTCTCTCTCTATTGAGGTTGGCTTTGGGTTGGTCAAATTTGGGGGGGAATACTCAGCGGTTATTCGGATGAATTCAATGAGGATTTGCAGGGCTTTCGAGTCTTGACCGAGACCGCTCGAGGCTGGCCCAACTTTTCCGCATCCTGTCAGAAGGTCTGTCAAGGCTCGTTGTAGATACAGTAAAAGGGGTTACAGTGGGACTGGTCGAGACCTCTCCTTATCAGAAAGCGGTACCGTATAATGTTCAGTCTAGGACCATCGGACCGACGAGATGTCTGAGCTCTCGAGGGAAGGCTGTGTTACTGCCTAACGTTGGGTCTGGTGGGCTCGATAAGGAGGCCCCTGGTGTTGGTGGTCGGGACGGCCCTTGGGAGGCTCACGAGATAGGTGTGTGGGCTGATGGAAGCACAGGTGGAAGCAGATCATATGTTTGGTCCTGGACTTTCGATCAGTCGGGCCGTACGGAACTGTAAGTGAGAACCGTAAGGACCAACAAGGCTCAAAGGATAGGAACGATCGTGGCCACGTCTTCTTAGTTGAAGAAGTCGTCAGTACCCAGGTCCACTATGGGGACCGGACTGCATCGGACATTATCAGGATGATACACCACTCCCACCAATATGGGATGCCCATTCGCAACTGGCATAAAGAGACCATCTATTTGATGTATAGGCATGCTCCTCGAGGGATGGCCACAGTTTTCTCACCTCTACCTGATCCCCATGACATTTCCAATACCAACTCGAGTGATGTTGCAAATGGATGAATGGCCCACAGCTTAGTCCCTTTACCGCATGCTCGGCACTCGTGGTCTTCGAGCCGGCCAGGCAGTCCGCTGTGGTCAAGGGGTCCAGCAGGTACCCGCCGCCGCTGCCGCCGAAATAAGGCTTCAACCGGTGTCCTTTCCTCCGCTGTTTGCCATTCTGCAAGAAGCAGCTAAACAAGTGCCTTCAAGGAAGAGGTATCGCAGACCGGCTCGGCTGGGCAGGGGTCTGTTGCGATGGTGTCACCACCGCAGTGTCACCACTGACAGTCCTAGAGCTGTATTGGCCGTTACTGGCCGATCCAAGGCCCTGCATGAGCCCAGTTCTAGAGTTCAAAGGAGCCGAATGTGAGCCGAGCCACACGCTGGTTCATCATGTGGAGCATGGGACAGATACAACTCCTCGAAGTCGCCTTATAATTGTCAAGGAAGTTTGGACAGTTCCATGGCGCCGCGTGCTAATCATCGTCCCTCAATGTTACGGGCAGAAGAAGCATATATAGAGGATATACTGTATGGATATGGGGACGAGGGCTGGCTGGATGGTGACGACGACGAGGATATGCTCACTGATGAGGAAGTCCAAGATGCTGAACTGGTATGCTCCTGACTGTCATAGATAGGAAAAACGAGCGAAAAACTCATTTCTAATTACCCTAAAAAACGTATCGTTTGTCGTGTCTCCCGCCCTGGTCCGACTGGCATCGATTGGCCTTTTAGGAATGTGGGTTGACGACTCGTGAGCTCATGGACATCCTCTCGAGGGACATCACTACGGACGATTATGATACGTTGTTGAAATTGGACGATCGGGTGCCACCAAAGACGGCTAAAGCAGAAGTCAGCAGCCCACCAAGCTTTGCCGCTACCGTAACGTCCACTCTTTACAGTTCATCACCAATTTGAGAGTCCTATCGAGAGCCGAGGTCATGGCCCTGGTCACTGCCTCTGGTCCTCCTGAGAAGTGTGGGGTAGGCCCGTTGTGTCCGACATTGGGCTCGTTCCCATTCAGGTATGCCTCTGCCCACTCTTGGAAGCAGTTGATGTAGACCCGCGGCCTCAAAATGGATCCTCCTCCTCATCCTCGTCCACAGCGTCCGAAATCATACAGTTGCCCAGATGCGGCCACATCTTCCACGCGGAATGTGCGAAGGAATGGCTGGGCAAGTTCGGTCGGACATGTCCGATCGATCGGGTCGAGGTGGAGGACAGTGAAGATTTCTGAGGAAGCTCGCCTTGCATGATGGTCACTCATGCTATTTATCAACAACTTGCTGTGCTCGTTCAGTATTGTCGAATTGTTGCGTTGGGTGTAAAATGCTGGGACAATCCTTCCCCGTTCGGACATACGGACTAGAGGATGGTCCACGGTAGAGAAGGTGGAAAGGTAATTCCACGAATTTGCAGATCAGGGCCCCAAGCACATAAGGTCGCATCATCCAGGACTCATTGAGTAATATAACACGTGATAGGAAGGAGCGGACAAGTAGGTGAACAGCAAACATGATAAACATACATCTCATGTGTGGATGGAGTTCGTTCGTCAATCTTGAAAGTCTGGCATTGGTATTAGTGGTAAGGATCCACCACTACTGGTCCGGCCAACCGTGGCGACCACTGTATCGGAGGGATACCAATAAGTTTGCGCGGCCCATCCGGGATAATCATCCAGAACTGCGGAAGGCAAGAATGGATGATGCTCCTCTTGAAGTCGCTGTACTCACATTGTGAGTCGAAGCCCGCCTCCTCAGCCGCCGCTAACTCCCCGTCGTTAGTAGTGCCCATCGTTATGGACACTGATTCCACTTGTGGCCCTACACTGTGAACCTGTATGCAGATTTGACACCATCTATGATGAAGTGGAGGAGTGGTATCAGCGACATAGACCAGTCAGTATCCGCTTACGTAAACCAATAGTCTCTTGAGCAAACGACCACCGACCGCCGAGCCCTTCCAGTCCTCCTTGACACAGAAATAAGGCAAATACACCCAATTCCGCTCGGGCACGTCGACAAGGCCGAATTCAACAGATGCGACGACGCTCTGAGGGAGAGGCCACTAAGGGGAAGCCCAACCGTCAACGCCTACGTTCCCTCTCGGCTCAACAGCTACGTATAGTCCAGCCTTGGGTTGAACCCTATCACATAGAGGGACATCCGATGGCTTGGCCAGGCGATACTCGAGTTGGTCCAGTGAGAGGCCTCGCTTATAGCTGGTCAAGCCGTGGAGCACCAAAGGCGCCATCAGAATGGACATCATGTAGATCGGACGAATCAGCATAGGGATGGATACAAAGGCTGCTACTGAGGAGTGGAAGGGGCATAGATCCTCATATGGTCGTACTACGACTGCACCACCTAAGGTAAGTAGACCCATGGTAAAATGAACCTACCCCAGCCAATCATCGAACACCCATCCACCCGATGTTGCTCCATGAACCAAACATCAGGAGGAAGAGGTGGCAGTAGTAAACTCGATTCGCTGGTGAGTCGCCACGTGAACTTGACGCGTTTCTAAGCCTCCCTCTGGGGCTTACCCGCATGCTGGGGCATGATCCTTGTGTGGTCTTTCCGAGGTTTACAACGATGACCTCCGGGGTCTCCTTATTGATCTTAGCAGTGGGATCGATCGTGGATGCCGAGGCGATACCATAACCACTATCGAGTGTAGCGACCCCAACCAGCTGCCCAAGGATGAATCGACTATCGTAACACACTGTGCCCACAAGGTCTAGGTTCTCTTCATCCTGGGCTACCATCGACTGCCATGGGCGGAGTTGGATTCATCATGAGCCTCCCCTTGGGCCGATGGGTCCACCTCACTCTACCAAACCGCCCATTGGCAGTAATTATGAGGATCACCAGAGAGCTGTTGGCCTTGCCGACGACGATGAGATGACTCACAGACTAGACAATAACGACTTATTGTTGTTTGGAGATTGGAGGGAGCCCTCCCCGGCAGGATGGCCAACAACGGACAATATTTGGTGAATCTTTCTTCCTAGAGAGACTTCCTGCTTATCATTGACGACCCTTGGCAGGCTGCCGCTTCCTAGAGTCGTATAAACGTAAGACCTCATCAGTATCACCAGTAGCCGGCCGCACTCGGTGGAAGTCCATTGCCAGCATAGCACACACTTCGACCGTACCCAGATGAGAGGACTCGATGGAATTGAGGCATGTACTTTCGTCCGCCACGCCCGAGGGCTGGGGGAAAAGACTGTCCCAGGGAGGGGGGAAAAGAAAAAAGAAAAAAAAGGAGAAAGGAAGGAAAAGGAAAAAGGAGGAAAAAGGAAGAGAGAAAAGAGGAGAGTTAAACATAGCTGCTCAATAAACAGTGTTTATTGATTCACTATTATTCGCTTCGATGTTGATTGTTTATTAAGCACTCAAGATCGAAGTGAATCATAAGACTATGGCATTTCCGTTGACAGCGGACTTATGCAGGAGCCTACTTGCTAACACCTGCTATATCTCGCTTCGCCATTCTGAGTCTCCTTGGACCGAAACCTGGAGTTTCTCGCTACCCATCCAGTTTCGGACACCACTAAACACTGTGGTCGCCGTCAGACAATTTCTTTCTGCTCCATCAGAGATTCCTCGCTGCGAGGACCTCGCATCTCGGACATAGCTTTTCCTGTAGAGAACTCCTTTCTCTCTGGACCCAGAGCATACAAGTAAGTGTAAGAGGATTAGAGTTGAAGATGAAAAGGCTTGTGAGAGCGAGCATACGAGAGACAAGTAGAGAGCTGGGCTTAGGCCTGGGTAGATACCGCCACGCGCATTCGCTGGTCGACGACCAGTGGTCGTGATATAAGTATCACCAGGCTCGCTGGTGGCACCAGCGATCTTCATCATCTTTTGCCATCCTTTTCTCCGAAAGCCCGGGAACTCCGCCGTCAGACAATGGGAATGCGGCACGAGAGGAAGGGTACTGATCGATATCCACTGTGTCATTCTCCACTACGATAGGACTCCTGTCACAGGAGTGGAAAGGGGACCCCCTTAGGGGGTACTAGCAGCTGGGGTCGTTGAATTGACGAGACCCTCAGGAAGGGCAGGTACTTCGTGGAAGGTACAGGTGCATTTGCAAAGAAGTCCGGTAAATCATTCACCGTGAATGGATCCCTCTGGCCGATCACCAGTTAAGGCTGGTAGTTGTGTACTCGCCCAAACGGGCGTGTCCAAACACTGTCACTAAACTTTGTGTCCTAAATCACTAAATTTCAGCGCGCGCCCTTATAAGTCCATATATAGCGCGACTTCGTTTCAACGGAGTTAGAGACCGAAGGGAAACAAGTGAACCAAAAACCGAAGGGGAACAGATGAGCCAGAAACCCGAAGAGAAACAGATGAACCAAAAACCCGAAGGGAAGTAAGCCAACGAAGAGGGTTCAGCGGGCCAGGCGGATCTATCTCAAGTCCATGTCTCATTGGACAAACTCGACACTCGTTTTGTGAGCTACATTTTGATTTACCTTCCAAGTTTTTCTTGAGCTGCAAAACCCAACACTATATCATTCACCATGCAGATCACTATACTTCGAACAGTATGACTCATCGAAGATCACTTATTAATGATGCTGATGGGCTTCTCGAGCTTCGGTCGACCACAGGAGTGGTGGAATGTTTGATGTACTTGCACTTGATTGCTCAACTTGGGGACTTGTCAGCGAAACTTTTGACCTGAATTATTGAGTGGAAAGTGAATTCATCGACGCATTACGAGTTGAGTTGTTGGTTTGCGGGTTGACAGAGAAGTAATCGGTCCTAAGCCCCTGATTATTAGATGATCAAAGTTTCTTGGCATCCACGACAATGCATTTCTCCGGCGGAAGAAGCACGGTAGGTAAAATGAAGACTGAGTACCGATGCCAGACCTCTCGAAGACTTTTTCTCTGACGTGTCGTTAACCCTGTCGGATCTTTGTGGAACCTGGCAAGTAATAGCAGTTGATATAACCTCCGTCTCAAGTCTTGACACGCGAGATTTTTCACCCACTTAATCGAACAACTGTTCAGCCAGTTTGCGTTGATACCGTTCGCGTGGAGGAAGGTTTGAGCAGTCTCTCCGACGTAGGCGTATCTCTCTCTCTTCTCGTCAAAAGATATCACGTACGTTGACGGAGGGGAATCCAGCGGTAGCGGGTAGTAATAGCAACATCATACCTCATGCGGGAAAGGCCTGCACCGCATATAATAATAGCGGTTAGTCGAGTTATATGTTTGTCTATCCATCCACCTGGAAACGGTGTGAAGGATGTTCTTTTCCTTAACCTTAGGCGCGCATAAATCGATTACAGGGGCGCGCGCGTCTAATTTAGTGATTTAGGACACAAAGTTTAGTGACACGGTTTGTTTGCGCCGCCCAAACGAGTAGCCAACACTCTTGCACTCTTACACTCACTTACTAATCCCTTATCTTAATGGCAATGAACACACATCAAGTTTGCTCTACCTTGCCCTTAAACACAATCCTGTTGAATTATGAGCGGTAAAATCGAGTCAGAGTTGGATTCCGACCAAGAACGTGAATCGGCCAAGGATTGGCCACCAAATGGTGCATCATCCTATCGGTTTTTGAACAATGTGGTCACGGCCATCAACAACGACCGTGATGTTGAACAGAGCAAAAATGCGCTGTCTGAGGCTGAACTCAGGAAGCTACGGCAACCAACAACAGCAAGTCTCACTATTCTGGGCGTTGGAACTTTCGGCTTATATGGTAATGTGACTGGACTTACCCTAATGTCGCCCAAGGGGAAAGCCTTGACACTAGACGTCAAGACCTGGCTCAAGGAGTGGGGGTTTGCTAAAGAGCAGTGGTCAGAGCCATTATTGACGCGCATACTCCATCGCATGTCATTGGCGAAGCTGTCCTTCCCTCTTAGAATTGCCATACTGGTCGCCGTTCTCCCCAAAGCACAAGCACAGCATGTTTTTGAGATTTGCCTAGCCAACATATCTCGGTTGACGGCTTGGACTACCATAGATATATCTCTCACGGATTGTACAGATGCCAAGAAGGCCGGTATGAAGCTCAGCCTTGAGCACTGGTTGCAAGATTGTGCCGATGTTTTCAGCCTGATACTCAGCTATCTCGAGTCCGAGTTCATCCCAGCAGACAGCTCTACATATGTCTCCCACTGGGTGAATTTAGACGTCTACAAGTTCGACTGCTGGTCATCGTTCTGTGCCACGGAGCGGCGCCTCTTCTCTGAGTTGGTCAAGAATCAACCGGGAGCATTAAGCTGGAAACTACGTCGCGATCGACTACTAGCATCTCTCCATAAGTTCCCAGCTTTTGCAAGAGATCTCTCTTTGCGATCCACTCTCTTTCCATCTCTTAAACTTTCCGATGATATCCGAGCGTTCGATAACATCTTACAAACATGGAGACTTACACATCATCCTCTTACATTGGACCAACTATTGGGCAAACCAACCGCACCTAGCTCAAGCTCACAAAACAACATCCATCATAAATCAAAGCGTGACTCCTCTACTTCGACATCAACCACAACATGCCAATTCTTCGTGAAGACCGGTCGTTGCAAGTACGGCGAGAAATGTAGATTCGTGCATCAAAGCCATAAGGCCGGTGATTCTCCGGATGCTCCAACCCTGAGCAGATCCCACACTTCGCAGTCCAAAAGCCAACATGGACAGACCGGAGCTTTTACTTCTCCTGAAGAATCACTCTGTCGGTACTGCAAAGAAAAAGGTCACTTCAAGCGGGACTGTCCCAAGCTAAAGGGACAAGACTCGGCGATAGGACCGACGGAGAGAGGTACCGGAAATGCTGACTCGAAGACTCCTCCTGTGAAGACGTCCGAGACGAACTATGCTATCTCTTCTACTGGTTCTGCTATTGAAATTGGTTCTGTCGAGATATGTACTCCTTCCGGCGAGTTCCTTGTTCTCGACGCCCTCTTCGATACAGCTTCTACACTCAACCTAATAACAGAAGATTTACTCTCAAAAAAACTACCAGGCTTCACTGAAGTTGCAGCAGCGATCGACGTGAACAGCCTCGGTGGGAGAGTGGACCTAACTCGGTGTGTCTCGGTTAAGATGAAGAGTCCGAAAGGACCCATAATTATCGTTCCGTTCTATGTCATTGCAGAGCGGAACCGGCTCCCTAACAATCTATCGGTCCTCATCGGTCGACCAGCTCTTCAAGATCTCGGCTATCGTCTCATCAACCTACATCAGGACAGCGAGCAGGAAACCAACACAACAGAAGAAACCAACACGTTGTCACTCTGTGAGCAGTTCGGCTGCAAACCTACCGAAAGACTATGCAACTATTTTTTATGGAGCGAAGGACTTGCCGACAAGTACAACAACTTGATCGACGAGCCCCGACCCCCAAGTCTATATAGCTCAAGAAGAGTCTCTGAAGAACCAGACATCCTGACCGACAATTACCCGGAAGATGGAGCTCTGGTGACGGACACGACATGTCCTGCTGAAGATACAACACACTCGATCGAGCGGACCCGCTCGAAAAAAGGTGGTTCGTTGACAGCGACGACGACTCCTACTACAAACGACTTCATTAAGTACAGCATCCCCGTACCAAAAATCTCCGGTAGTGCTATAGACTTGGACATCAACATCGACGTCATGGTAGATCGTGGCTTCAACTACTTACTCGAACGCCTACGAGACTGGCGACACATCCCTAACGGTAACACATACAAGACGAGAGTGAGGCCCTTGGGGCCCGGTGAGCACAAGGACTGCCCTGGTCAAACGCACGTTTATGAGATAGATTGGGACGATGATGTATCGTCGCCAATGCCACATACTATCAAAAGCCGAGATTTCTCCACTGCCTTGCTTAAGCGCCTCGATAAGAGCTCTCAGGCATGCTTCAGAGAGGAAGTCTCACGGTATGTTGATAATAAATGGTGGTTAGAAGACGACGACGACATCACCCACGACGAGTCCTATATATGTGTGTTTCCTGTGAGTCAGCCAAACCATCTGGGGCATAGGGTGAGACCCTGTGCAGACTGCAGGTCAGTCAACCAAGGCTATCCTGAAGCAGGTTATAACAACCTCTCACTTAGTGAATGTGCACAGGCTCTACTCTCCGCTGACGTCAGTACTCTGTCCTTTAGGGACATTGCTAAAGCGTTCTACAAATTACACCTCCCACCGCACCGGACGTTGACTCTGAAGACATGCAACAAGCGGTATCGGTGCCGGAGGGTCAGCTTTGGTGTGAGGTTTGGGCCTCTAGCCCTCCAGTCTTTCACCGACTACATGACCGACAGTATCTATATGGCTCTTACCGGAAACCCTCCTCCTGACCAGCTTCTTCCCGAGGAGAGATACCAGTATCTACCAAACCTTATCATTCTCTGCTACTACGATGATATAGCGATAGCTTCTAAGGATGAGAAACTCGTCAGAGTGGTTTGGAACCTACTTGACCGCATAGGGGAACGCCTAGGGATTACTTTCCCAGCTGAAAAGTCCTCTTGGTTAACTTCTAGTACTTCCACTACCACTTCACACTTGGGCCTTTCCTGGTTCTTTGAAGCTGACCGCCTTAGAGCGTCCTGTGCTATCCCTGATCTCAATTGCCTCGATACAGCGTTGGATGGTGCTGTTACGAAGCGAGGTTTATTCAGCCTCTGTGGTAAGTTCACGGACCCTCTATCACTGCATCCAGAAAGAGATCTGCTAGTGGATTCTATTCGGTCATGGTCTGGCCGATTCGGTCATGCCACTGATAGAGCCTCCTGGGATTCTGAGCTCCGCATTAATAGGAGAGATAGGGAAAAGCTCAAGCGGCTACTGAGCAATATAAAGGAGCTCTCTACTCAATGCAAGCATCAGAGTTGGGCCGGCTACAAGCACATAATTGTCACCAGCGACGCATCTGCTACTGGCTACGGCTGGTCGGTGATGGCGACATCATGCTCTACTGCAAACACTACCAATATACCGGTTGTGGAAAAGTCCAAACGCTTCCCAGACGCTTTGAAATGGCACTGCAACCGACTAGAAATGTTTGCTATAGTCGACGCGGCAAAGCGTTTGTTGAGGCTGGTGGAGATTGGCTTGCAAGCCGATCAGATCATTTTCCTATCCGACAACAGTAGTGCTGTTAGCGGGTGTCGATCCAAACAGCCTCGGCTCGGTAGTTATGACAAACTGGCGTTGCAAAGGCTTACTCAGCAATTCACTGACATAGAACGGCTTTTGCGCGGCCGTAACATAACTGTTTCGATCACCCATCTTGCTGGTAACAGCAACACTCGGGCTGACTTCTTGTCTAGACTACCAGGTTCGCTGGATCTACCCACGGGGGCGCCTCAAAACGGCAGTGTCTTTGTCCTCGTTGGTTCTGCTGATCCATTACATGACCGCGGCTCTCTAGATGGACCCCTCTATGACCACAGCTTCCTCGAGCAGTGTTCCAACGCTCTCCGATACGATGCCACAACCTGGCGCGGCATCGAGCTCAGGCGTCTAGTTAATTCACAAGACGACAACACTGAGAAGAAGGTCAAAACCAACCTATTTTCTGTCAGCGATCTCGGTAACGTCTACTTTGTTGACACTAACGGTACTCATCGTCTATATGTGCCACACGAGCCTACCGTCGAGCGCCACTCGACACTGAGATGGAAACTACTCCTCAAGGCACATTGGCCTCACTGCCCGTTGCAGAATATGAAGAACAGACTCCGCGAGCAGTGTTGGTGGCCAAAAATGAAGAGTGACATCAACAAGTTATATCAGAACTGTTTCTCTTGTCGACGAGAACTACTACGCCTAGTACCGCTGGGTGGTCAGAGGTCACGCCAACTTTCTAAGAGGTTCGACACCTTGGTTATAGACTTCTGTGGGCCTTTTTCTGACATCACAGTCGATGGTATCACATCACCACACATCATCATACTCATCGACTCCTTTACTACTTGGTTAGAACTCCGTCTAGTCGAAGGTCCCACCGCTCGAGCAGCTGCGAAGTCCGTAATCGAATGGTCCCTACGCTTTGGTAGCCCCCTATATCTGGTTTCTGATAGAGGTCTGGCGTTTACAGCCGAGCTCACGAAACTCGTGAACAAGGCCCTCTGCATAGACTCCGTTCTCAGTGGCGGTTATCATCCTACACCACAAGGACAAGCTGAGAAGGCTGTCTCCCTCGTCAAGTCATCTCTGAGGAAACTATGTGCTCACGTGCCTATGCAACTTGCGTTGCAAAACCTCCAATGGATCTGCCGGTTCCACAATACAGCACCTAGATCCTACGGTGACGAAGACATAACTCCAGAAGACCTTGTATACGGCGGCAGGAGTCGTGACGCATTACAGGCCTTGCTGGAGGCAGACTGCTCTCGGAGCTCTGCACATGATGGTGATTCAGCCTCATACTTGAGGCAATTGCAAGATGAAGTTACTTCATTGAATACCGCCTGGAGGACTATACTGTCGGAAGGACGCGCTCTCAATCTCTCTGGTAACTATCGCCTAGAGCCGTCTGTGGTACAAGGCGAGAGGGTATTCCGAATCATAGTAGACGGTCTAGGAAAACGACGCATCCTGGGTCCCTACACAGTTCATGAGCTACGAGGCGAAGATTCTTCTATGGCCATCCTATCTATACGCGGTGAAGTACTCCCCAACCCCGTACCTCTATGGCAACTTTTCCATGCTCCTAACGACGACATCATCAAGGCGTACGGCACGTTAGGCATCCCCGAGCTAGACGACCTCTTAGCCAAATCCTGTGAGTCGCTCGCTCCCGAAGATCTTATTTGTTTCCGGAACCCAGGAGAAGATATCGAAGGGATTATCTCTATTGACCTCGGTAGAATACAACACAACAACATCGACAACAAGGAACTAAAAATCCGTCGACTGGTAATGGATGCCGATGGTATCTGGTATGATACAACTGACAACTTCGTCTATATATCTTACTCTGACGTGTGCTGCACAGGGCCGAAGGTATCATTAGATCCAACTGGTCGCATCAGCAGAAGTCTACACGCTCTGCTCCAGCGCATTGGCGTTGAGATATGATCTTCTCTTTGCTGCTATTTTTTTACTCATCACAATTTTGGATCGCCCTACGATCCTTTTTTGGAGGGGGAGTGTAGGCTCTGACTGAATCTGTCAGTAAATATCTGAACTGTCAGTAAGATTGCACGAAAAGTGCAAGAACCGCGCATAACGACGGTTTCGCTGAAACCAACTCGGATGGCCTTAAGTACTCATTAAGGCAGCAGTTATTGAATAATGTTGCATCCACCTACGCCGACGGGGTCTCATAGCAGGAGCGGTCGATGCCTAAAGCTCCCCGGTCGCTTTGCTAGCGGACTAAGCGAACCATCGACCATCATGGTGCTCCCAACAAAGGGTGAAGTAGTCAGGGGTAGCCGCGAGACAACGTCCTCCAATCCCACCCCCTCAAGACCAAAAATACCAAGGTAGGCGCTCACAAACAATCTCTAGAATCTCAGTGCCACCCCATTGACCTAGACCTCCCGACCTAGTAGTCCCCGATCTATATGCGACAAAGGAGATTCTTGCGTTAATAGGCAATGGCTATTGGTAATGAAAAATTAGAAAACACCAATCCATCATTTAAAACTATGTAACACGAACTCTGTGTCACAGAGGCCTTAAGAGTGAACTGAAAACAACATAGTAGCTAAAATCAAAATCGATCATTATGCGAGCGAAATTGAAGATCGGGCACGCACAAAGAAGACAAGAAAGATATTGAATCTTAATGAGAGCGAGAACACGAGTCACAAAGGGAACGGTCATCAAGATAATTACCAGGTGTGAATCCTTGACTAAAGGTAAAACTAGCTTGCAAGTCCATTAAAAAAACCAAAGGATTGCGGGTGAAAACGGAGAACGGGAAACCCGAAACCCCACCCGAAACCCGACAGGGCAACCCGAAACCCGAACTCTCATCCAAGTGTAGGCTGTTATCCAAGGGCGAACTGATCCCAAGGAAACCAGAAACCCGAACTGTTATCCGAGTGAAGACTGTCATCCAAGTGCGAACTGATCCCAAGGAAACCAGAAACCCGAACTGTTATCCGAGTGAAGACTGTCATCCAAGTGCGAACTGATCCCAAGGAAACCAGAAACCCGAACTGTTATCCGAGTGAAGACTGTCATCCGAGTGCGAACTGATCCCAAGGAAACCAGAAACCCGAACTGTTATCCGAGTGAAGACTCTCATCCGAGTGCGAACTGATCCCAAGGAAACCAGAAACCCGAACTGTTATCCAAGTGAAGACTGTCATCCAAGGGCGAACTGATCCCAGGGAGACTCCCTTAGGGAGTCCATTAACAACGATACAAGCCCAAACTGATCGTAGGGCAACCTGCGCTGTTCATGCAGTTTTCATGCAGTCTGACTGACACTTCAGACATTTACTGATAGTTTCAAATTATCCCCCCTTGGTTTAGTATGGTATAGTGACCCGAACATTGGGACCCCTATTCAATATCAACGAAATATCTTCAACTAAGTTCGAGATGGAGGATAGCTTTGGAAGCATGAAAGCAAAAAATAAAGCCAAGCCCGCCGCGAAGCGGTGGGCTTGGCTTTATTTTTTGCTCGGTTTTAGGAGATGGTATAGTGATGGATTAGTAGGCTAGGATCCTGTACTGTCCCGCAGGATTACTCGCCCGCCCAGGAATGCCTGGAAGTGAAAGAAAAGAAAATGCCGGACCTGGGAATAGAACCTGCGCGGATTAGAGAAGCTAATTAGTCGTTGCCTACCCCTGCCCAGGAAAGCAAATAATATGAGATTATTGAGGTTGCTTTTCATTCCTAATGGCGACCACAGCCGACAAGCCGGCAACAGCAGGGCTCACTGGAGGGACTCTGGCCGAGTCCTTTAGAGTGTCCCGTACCATATCCAGCTTTTACACCGGTGGCCGTATTCTTCACGGTGTGGGCTCGGGCAAGATCTATGCCCTCTGTTCGGAAGGGGTAGTACTGGGTGATAGGGGGGTATTGAGGGCTACTGTTAGGTACGCGTAGTGGACCCGGCCAGCGGGGAAGTTGAATGCGAAATTGAAGTGGAAAATGATGGTATCACCACATTTGCTGTCTATGACACCAAGGACGCCGCCCTGCGTCGGGCCGAGGCCCAGGGTAATAGTCGTCCGAGTATTACGGACATACCGTGCCTGGTGTTGTGATGTATACGATTGGTAATGGATGTCTTTTAGGACCCGGTGGGGAGGTGGTGGCCATGATCATCACAGCGGGCCGGTCCCAGCTCCTACGTCATTGGCTCATCAGGAGGACCACTTCGGACAGTAGTGGTCTCAAGCTCCAGGCCCAGTTGCTTAGGAGTTGGGCCTCCTCACAAAGTGTGGTCACCTGTATGGACTTCGACACCTCTGGAGGGCTGTTGGTCACTGGTGGCGTCGACAACAGCGTTAAGGTGTGGGATATCCCCGGCTATTTCTGTAGGGTCTGAGCCTTGGCCCCCACGGTAGTATCGGACTCCCCTCAGGCACCCACCACTTGCGGGGCCACAACGCTCCAGTGTCACACGTACGGTTTCTCCCCAGCCAGGCCAGACTTGCCTCGGTCAGCGAAGACTTCGAAATAAGGGTTTGGGATTTGGTCCAGGCCGCCGCCGCAGCAGCAGGTGGTGGTAGTGGGAAGAAGGGTGGCCCACAGTGTCAGATGGTAGTAGGGGGGACTTGCCGTCACCGGGGATCGAACATGCGTCAAGGTACTACGTGATCATCAATCCTCCATCACTACACTGGAGATCGGGGGCCCACACGGAGAGGTAGACCCGAGCCGACGTCTGGACTTAACATAACATTGCATACAGACCCTCATCTCGGCGGGCAAGGACCAGATGGTGAACTTCTGGGACGTTACGGTCCACAAGGAGGAGGAGGGTCGGCGGGAGATCACTCGGAAGCCTGCCCATGTCCTACCTGTATTCGAGGCGGTCCACGCGATGTGCTTATTGCCTAACAAGCTCCTGGCCGTAGTAGGGGAGGAAGGTACTACTGGGCCCCTGGGGGCGTCCACGGATGGCTGTCGTGGCAGGTACGGTAAAGCTGTGGGACCCCATACGTCGGCATACCTTTGACCAGACCAAGGCAGCTGATGTCGGGGTCACTGGCTGCTTTATTCATGTAGGCTACTTCTCTAGGATCACTGCTACTACTACGGGTCCATCCTCAGGCCTTTTGGGTATCATCCATAGGAGAGGAGGGTCACCTTTGTACGGTCGGGGAGGACAGAACCTTGACCATGTGGAGGGTCAACACCACTGAAGGGGACCAGCCACAGCGTTATAGTGATGCCCGACTCGAGTGGGAACGACAGGTCATGGGCGACTTGGACGAAGTTATATCGACTAAGTGGATAGGAAAGGATAAGGTCATTGCCAGTAATAGCAGCAGGGCCTTGGGCCTCTCGAGGGTGATGGTCCTGTTGGCCCTCATCAGGTTTCAACGACTCCAATCCTAGAGTGGTATCGGGACTCTCGGCCGACCCCAAGTCCCAGATCTCCACTGTGCCTTTGCCTGGTCATGAAGGGACGGTCCTGACCATCGCTGTTGGTGGTCCCGGCGGCAAGCATGCCCGAGAGGAGGACGACGCCCTTTATGCTCTCACTGGGTCTAAGGACCAGACCGCTAGGCTTTGGGACCTCAACACCAACAAGTGCCTCGCTGTCCTTAAGGGTAGGACCACCCCCTAGGGTAGTGAGGCCAGTGCCCCTCAGGTCACACTGGAGCGGTCACTGGAGTGGCCCTGAGTCGTCGGCGACCCGGCCAGGCCTTCACATGTAGTAGTCTTATTGCTAGTGGTCCTCTGTACTGTCTGTGGTAGGCTCAGAGGACAAGACCGTCAAGATGTGGGATATTGCCAACGTCCTCAGTGGGGCAGGAAGGGAACCAGTGGAGGTAGGTTGGTCCACCACTATGTGGGGGGGGCCTCCCGGTACCTAGTAGCAGTGTTGAGGCATACGTAGTAACTACGTCGTAGTTTAGTCTCTCTCACCTGAGACCACATTTACCTAGAACTTGAAGTGCGGTGTACACAGACCAACAGGAATTACTCGAAATTCTCTGAGGGTCTCCGCGATGTTATGACCGTGTTTGTTGTTGTTGGTATTCTCTCACACTGTGTCATGGTCAGATTAGCTCAGCAGTAGCCACCGTAGTGGCCCACTTGAAGTCGGCCAATGACGTCCAGTGTGCCCCCAACGATAAGCTCATAGCCTCGGCGGGCCAGGACAAGCTGGTGGGCCCCGGCCGCCGCCCTGTCGAGTTCTTGTCAACTTGGTGGTATCAGGTTAAAGTGTGGAGGGTGGGTGCTGCTGGCAGTCTACAGAAGTGGGAGTTGGCAGGGACCTGTACAGGCCATCGTCGTGGTGTATGGGCGGTCGACTTCTCCCCAGTGGATAAGGTCTTTGGTCCACATCGGCCATGTTGGGATCATGGCTCCTCCTTCTAGGTCCTGGCCTCGGCCTCGGGGGACTCCTTGGTGAAGTTGTGGAACCTGGTGGACTATACCTGTATAAGGACCTTCCAGGGCCATGAACACGCCGTCCTTAACGTGAGTCTGGTCCGTGGTCCTACATAGTAGTACTGGTGGTCCTGCATTTAGGTCAGCTTTGTTGGCCCTTTGGGTATGCAGTTGGTGTCGTCTGGTGGAGATGGTCTGGTCCGCCTGTGGCACATTAGGACCAGCGAGTGCGCGGCTGTTCTGGAGGGACATGATGATAGAGTTTGGAGTATGGATGTAAGTTGACGGTCGTGGGATTCGAACCTGGGACCTCTGTCGGGATGGTCCAGGTGAATGCCTCGTCGAACTGTCTGGTGACCGGTGGTGCTGATAGCAAACTCCTGCTATGGGAGGACTGCACCAATGAGGAGAAGGAGAAGACACAGCAAGCATCGGCCGAGGTACTACATAGTTGCCGTCACTGACTGAACTTTGGCCCTCCAGGCGGCTCAGCGGGACACACGCATCCAAATGCTATTACTACAAGGCAACCACAAAGAGGCCCTGGACCTAGCCCTGAAGCTCAGACGGCCTGGTAGGAGTCCTCATGAAGGTCTGTGTGGAGGTGTCCTTTTATAGGGTTGATGAAGACCGTATTGGAAGACCATGCGTGGAAGTCCCTGACGACCGCTATGGAGGGCGAGGAGGCCCCTATGGACCTGGACATTGGCTCATGGGTGGAGGGCCTCAAGGAGGAGGACCTAGAGGCTTTGGTCGATGTAGGCTCCAGGGGGGACGACTGGTCCTCTGTAGTGGTCGTGGTTAGGTGTGTGGGAGGTGGCAGACCACGGCCAGGAACTGCGACTTGGCCCACTCAGTTATGAACGAGATATTCAAACGGTTACCAGTAAGGCCCCATGTACATCCCCTCGCGGTCGATGATCGTCGTTGTTCCCTATAGGCATCTCGTCTGTACCGTATTGAAGGCATTGGGTCCTTCCTGGACTCGTTCGTGGCCTATGGCGCGAAGCATCTTCGAAGGTAGTGCCACCTGAGCCGCACCAGAGGGTAATGTAATGGTCCTTGTAGGTTGGAGGCCCACACCTCCCGAGCCTTCCTGTGTGATGGTATTCTGGCCAGTGTTGGTTCTACCAACGTCTTACCAGAACTGTCTGAGCGGCGCATGATAGACATCATCACTGAGGACCCCAAGGAGCCCTCGGCTAAGCGACAGCGGCCCCAGTGAGGTGCCATCAGCCCTCACAACGTATCCTTAACGTATGTTTCTTTACCAGAAGGTTCGTCATCACTGACCAGTAGAGTTAAATGTTGTGTATTGCGTTGAAGTTGTAGCTGATACATTTCCATAACAACGTCGATCACAGGACCATTGAGTTCGAGGGTCTTGACTGCCACTGATCCGACTCAAGGAAAGTTGACAATTCATTACGACATACCTGGAATCGTTATGTTAGACGTGTGAAGAACTACTCTGGTCAAGAGGGCATCGTGTAATTGACACTCAGCGCCGATACAACACTTTCTGAACTACTATTAGTAGTATGTTGATTATTAAAAATGGTGCTTTAATGATGTCACTAGCGAAAAATTCAAGTAAAAATTGTGAGGGCATTACGGTCTGTGTCGTTGAGGTAATTTGCAATGCTACTACAACGGACGAATGAGTCAATCGTCACGAGGTACTACGACCATGCTAATTCATCGCTCCACGAATCCGTTCACTTCAATTTAACTACGACACTTAAAACACAAATAATGATCAGAAACTGTAAATAATACCAAGTCGAAAAATCAAAGAGCCGAATGCAGGAGGATTCATCCCACAAGTAAAACTTGACTATAAGGGCGTTTCAGACTCTGAGGTTTACAACGAGGGACTGTATGAAAGAAAAAAAAATGATCACTTAGGATCGCAAGCTTGCAAATCTTCGATGGTCCATTGAGGAGATCACAGGTAAATATAAACGTCCGTGCCTGAAAGCGACGATACATATACATTGAGATTTCACCTGTGATATAAAAGCACTAGTGAAATATACACTTCACGACTACTGCATAGCGCGAATATCGCGTTCTTCACAGCATCACTTCACGTAAAACAAGTGGAACTCCACTGTCTAGTGAAGCGGCAATAGTCTTACCAGCTCCTGGTATGCTGTTGACTTCCAAGTCACCATCAAAGTACCTGCAAGAGTACACTCATGGAGTATGTCAAATATGATCTCCTTTCGAGCTATCACTTCATCCATGCCATATTACCAACTAAAAATTTCCCATTAACTGAGAAAAGTTCTCATATGATATTAGAATTTTCCTCAGCTATTGCGAAATTTTAAGAGATAAACTATAAGAAGAACTATGATAACTATAACTATACTTATCATACTATAACTATGATCAGCCACCATATAATACCACACAACAGCTTAGCTTCAAAATACCCACACCCTAACCTCACCTGGCCATGACCGTAGAAATTGGCAGACCAAAACCAAAACCAGCCAGGGGCGCGCGCGAGTCAAAATCGGGGAGTTCCTGCGTGCCGTCTGGCTTCTGAGTCGCCGACGAATAAAAATAAGAACTCGCCTAAGACTCGCATTCGATTATACTAACAGGAATTCACCACAACTCACTTTTTTCAAAATCTCGCGTTTCATACCGTAACCTCGATCGGCGATTTTGATGGTCCTCTCGGAATCCCACATTGAGGAGAGGTCCGGTAAGGTCACTGCTACCGGGGGCAATCTGTCAACAGGAGTATAAAAATTCACCGAAAATTTCGGAAAATTTTTACCCAGCGTTTAAGCATCGCTGATAGTCACCACCATTGTCGAACAAAGCTTTTTCAACTGAAGCTCTCATGGCATTCTGTAGAGAAAATACAATATTCAAATCGACAATTTTAGGCTCACTTTCAGAATCTCCAGAAAAATATAAAACAAGTGTTGGGCAACATATGCAAAACTCCTCTGCGGCGGGGCTACTGTCAGGTACTCCTCCAATGACATTCCGTTAACCACTAAATCTGAGATCATCTCATCATAGTAATAGTAAGCGGATGGACGCGTACCCGGCGCTAAACCGTTGTAGTCCCTACGGCACATATATTTAGCAGCTTCATAAGCCTGCTGGAGGACCAGGACGGGCAGGGTATTCGTTGTGAGAGCACCTGTGTGAGTGTCGTCTCCACATAAAATTCTGCATAAAACTCAATATTTTCCCAAAATTTCCTGAAATTTTTTTCCATCATCAACATACATTATGTGTACACATTTTCCACGCAAATATCAATTGTAAATTCTTACCAACAACACGTGGTTTTTCGTTCAACATGTGCATCTTTTCCCCCGGGCTCGACAAACCCTCCCTCGTCCAGTTCTCCTCCTTAGCTTCGTTCAAGGCCAGCACGTGAGAAATGATCAACCTAAAAGGGACGGCCACACACAACATCATCATCGGACTTGTCGAAGCTCACCTGCAGGAAATCCTAGTGGAAAAGAAATCATCCAATTTCCGCTCGATCTCCGTAATAGCCGGTACGCTTTCTCGGGTGTGTAGGAGAGTACATCTGGCGTCGTACTAGGATGACGACGACGACGTAAACATACGACAACGGAACGCTACCAAGAAGGGCTTACCTGTGCTCGAACGCTCTCTTGGAATTCGAGGACTCCCCTTGCGATGCCGATCATAGTACCTTAGATGGAGAAAACTAATATGAAATAATTTTATTGGAGTTTCACCCGTTTTACGCCAAGTGATGAGAAACGCGATATTCGCACTATATGTTTTTCACTAGTGTTTTTCATATCACTAGGGTGAAACTCCATTGATTCTAATACTTCACCACCAATACGCCCACAAGCACTGATGTGTTTCGTATCGTCATCAAGAACGAGTTCATGTATAGAAAAAAGGTGTTAGACGAAATTTATCAGATGAAATTTCGCGCAGTATTTTGACGTTCAATTTCCATGTCAGTGACCACAATACATCGGAGTTTCACCCTAGTGATATGAGAAACATATTTCACGACTACTGCATATCACCGCGATTATCCCGTTTTTCACCGAGTTTTACGCCACTTTACGTAAAACGCGCGAAACTCCGATAAACAAAAAATACTAGAAAACGAAATCTCCTAATAAAAAATGACAAAACTTCAAATTTGTGACCGCCATACGAGTATAGCTAAGCCGTGTTGTCGGTGTTGGACATTAAACTCACACACATACGCACGCTATACAAAACGACCGTAACAGTCGATCAAGTGCGCACCTTTGTGACGTGTAAGAATATTATTCATGACAATCTTCACTTCAGGGCTCCACACTACGTCATCTCCCATTTTTCCCTCTAGTCTGAAAAACAATTTCGAGGAGGAAAATCACGACCGATCTCACTTGGTTAATTCTTTGAAATCCTGCAAGTAGTTGTCAACAACATGTTTCACCGAAGGAAGCGTGGCAAAGCCAAACGGAAAACACTGGAGTTCATAGCCGCATATTGCAACACCTACGAAAACGCCTTGGTGTAGTCTACCAGCGGAAAGTTACCTCGCTTCAAACTTTGTAGAAGATGAATGGTCCGGTCGTTCCTACTGTATTGTTGTAATGCCAACAAACTCTCTAAGGTGTATTTTGGCAGTGGAACCTGTTACTCGAAATGGTGATGAATATTTACAGAAATTTTGGTATCTACCGCGAATATACCAAAATTTCTGTAAATATTCGTTCAGGATCCGGAGAATCATCCAGGAACTATAATGGAGTTTCACCCCTACTACGCGAAGTGGCGTAAAACTCTGTGAACAACGCGATATTCGCATTATGCAGTAGTCGTGAAATGTTTATCATATCACTAGGGTGAAACTACAATGTTCCCGGGGCGACCCGTTTTGAATTTTCCACAATTTTCAATCAGTTTTCCACGTAAATTTCATCACACAAGGAGCATTTTCGACATTTTTCAAGGCCTGGTAGGGCGTTATTTCTCGATCTTAAATGTGTCCCTGTCTATGCGTTGCGATTTGCCACGCACACAGTAGCTGCGTGAAATTGTGCGGAATTTATGGTTGAGTTCGATTGTCGGAAAATTTTTTCTGAGAAATTTATATTTCGAAATAATCAGCTCTGGTTGAAATTTCAGTTCTCTTCGGAAAAAATTGCGATCTAATACCGAAATTATTTCGCCAATTGAATCGAGTCGGTAGTAAAGCCCTTTTCCCATATTACTTGTGCCTCTTGCGCTATCAACCCCAACGCACACGGCTCGGATATAACGCAGGATGGTCCGGTAGTAGGCCCTAGTCTCAGCGATCTACGAGCTGTGGACGAGAGAGCTACTGTGGACACTTCGAGAAGGGATGGTTGGAGGATTGAATTATTTATCATAAAAACTGAATACTTGAAAACATTGTTTAAACAGTGTTTTATACAGTGTTGTGACTCACTATAGAGAACACTGGAGTTTCACGACCCGTTTTACGTGAAGTGGCGTCGTAAAACTCGGTGAAAAACGCGATATTCGCGGCCTGTAGTAGTCGTGAAATATATTTTTCATATCACTAGGGTGGTGAAACTCCAATGTATGAAAACACTGTTTCGAACGGACTGTTCGAACCTGACTTCACCGGTAATGAGCCTATCATCCGAGCCCATTGAATATTTATACACGACCAGTGAGGTCGACATTAAAGTTGGGCTAAAAAAGTGCGGCGACGCGTATTGACACCCTTCACCGCTCCTCTGAATATTCCACTCTGGCTGAGGCGTCACGTTGACGTTTTTCTTGCAGTGCATGCAATCTCTTTACTTGATCCAGCCACTTTTGTACCAAATTTTATGCTGGGGAATTTGTCCACTTCTGTACCAAATGGGCGAGCGCTTAACAACTATACCACTCGACACCGAACCTTTCTGACTTTGTAACACGAGGGGTGTTCATCACTACCTTATAGTACTTGCACCTGACTCGCCTGGCTGTGGTTATCCGTCCGAAGCCGCACTACTTAGTTTTACGGGTTCTCCAGCTTTTCGTACACACTCGTGGGGTTGTTCGTGCGATAATTGTGGAGCCCGTTGACTGCACAGCATCTTGCTCACGGCAGAATGGTGTGTCGGTTAGGCATGTGAGGTTAGTAACGCGAGGTTGTGGGATCGATCCCGGTAGAATACTATTTTGTACGAACTAACTTCGGACTCGGGGCACCAAGCATGACGATACCGCCACTAGAGGTGTCACCTGAACTTGGGTTTGACCGAAGGTGATGAGCGTTACGATGGCTTACTCATTCGAGTGGGGGGAGGTGACGGCCGAACGCTTGCTTGGTGCGAAAATCCTCGTGGAAGCCTCAGAGGCTCAAGTCCCGTATCATGCTTGACATACTGCTGCATGTACTCACGTTCTCTGATAAATCATCAATGGAAAAACCCTAACTTCTCAACCACGGATTCCTCGTTAACCACGATGAGTGAGCAACCGCCGTGGACACCATTGGAAAGAGCACAATTTTTCTATTGAATGTCGTCCTTTATGTCAGCAAAAGTCTTGCCCACCCACGCAAATCGCGCTGAGCAGTTTCTTTGACCGAGCACTCTACTAGAGAGTTCTCACACCTTCACATTCGGAAGCATCCGAAAATTGTCGATGAAAAGCTCCCTTCCTATCCCCAAATCCCCTGCCCAAAAGAGTCGACCCGCTCGATCATCAAATGAGAGAACTTGCAACAGAGTATGAAAAAATCGCTTTTGGGCAATTTATGGCAAGTGAAATAGCAAGTGTCATAAATCTCGAATGACATAAAAAGAATATTCGGGCCCCGTCAGATGTCCAAGCACTACGCGATTTATACTCTACGTACGCCACATCAGCGTGCGACAGTCCTAAGTTC